ATGTAAAGCCGCTGGGCGAGATCATCCGTGGTTTCGGGGTGAAGTACCATCTGTACGCTGACGACACTCAGCTGTACATCTCCACCCCGGATCACCCCAACGATGCCCTTGAAGTGATGTCCCAGTGCCTGGAGGCCGTACGGATCTGGATGGGGAGAAACGGGCTCAGGCTCAACCCATCCAAGACCGAGTGGCTGTGGTTTCCGACGTCCCGATATAGTCAGCTGGTGCCATCGCTGGCTATTGGGGGCGAATCATTGGCCCCCACGGAAAGGGCTCGTAACTTGGGCGTCCTCCTGGATTCACGGCTGTCTTTAGAAGAGCACTTGATGGCCGTGACCGGGAGGATTTTTCATCAGGTTCGCCTGATTCGCCAGTTACGTCCCTTTCTAGATCGGGACTCGTTACGCACAGTCACTCATGCCCTCGTCACCTCTCGTCTGGACTATTGTAATGCTCTCTACATGGGGCTCCCCTTGAGGTGCACCCGGAGGCTCCAACTGGCGCAGAGTGCGGCCGCGTGGGTGGTTATGGGAGCAACATGGAGCTCCCATGTAACACCTCTCCTGCGCGAGCTGCACTGGCTCCCGGTGGTCTTCTGGGTGCGCTTCAAGGTTCTGGTTACCACCTTTAAAGCACTCCATGGCTTAGGACCTGGTTATCTACGGGACCGCCTACTACCACCAACAGCCTCCCACCGACCAGTACGCTCCCACAGAGAGGGGCTCCTCCAGGTGCCGTCGGCCAAACAATGTCGGCTGTCGGCCCCTAGGGGGAGAGCCTTCTCTGTGGGGGCACCGACGATCTGGAATGAGCTCCCCCCAGAGATACGGAGGATCCCGGATCTGCGCACCTTCCGCCGCGAGTTGAAGACGCTTTTATTTCATCAAGCGGGCCTCGCCTAAATTTTCTCCCTTTTAAATGAAAATTTTAAATTTTTAATTGTATTTTAAAATTATGGGTATTTTAAATTATGGATATAAATTCAGCCAAATTTATTTAATTTATTTTATTTGATTTTAAATTTTGTATATTTATGTGTTTTATTTCATGGCTGTACACCGCCCTGAGTCCTTCGGGAGTAGGGCGGTATAGAAATTCAATTAATAAATAATAATAATAAATAAATAAACAGTAGACAGTCTAAGGTTAAAGTTATGGGAGTTTGGGGAAGTAACCACAGAGTCAGATAGTGGTAGGTTTGGCCTCTGAGATAAAACAGCAAAAAGCAGGATTCCTGACTGATAGATCAATCAATCATCTTAAGCTTTAAATATATATGTAAAAAAAGGGGGGGGGAATGAAGTGCCAATTCTTCACTCACAAAGAAAGCCAAAATAATAATGCAAATGCCCCGTGACAGGAGAAGGAATTCTAATCCCCAGGCATTTAATTCTCAGACATCTGGAATCAAGGACAATTTGCCATTAAAGGCATCCTAAATTGTCTATGGGATTCTTTCTTTACATCCTTCTTGAAGTGGACCTAACAGAAAAGAGTCACACATGAGATCTTAGGCTGGATTGGAGATAATGCTAACTGTGGGTGCCTCTGAAATACTTAAGGCAAAGATTCTTGTTTTCAGATGCAGTTCACTGTGACCTTTGTCCAGAAGACCAATATCCCAACAAGGACAAGGACCACTGCATTGCCAAGAAGATCCACTTCCTTGCCTATGAAGAAACCCTGGGATACACTTTAGCATCTCTTACTCTTTCTCTCTCTTTGATCACATTGGCAGTCCTAGCAATTTTCCATAAGCATCGTGACACTCCAATTGTCAAGGCCAACAACCGAGATCTCACCTATCTTCTCCTGTTCTCCCTCCTGCTCTGCTTCCTCTGCTCCTTCCTTTTCATTGGTCAACCGAGGAAGCTCACCTGTCTCTTCCGACAAACTGCCTTTGCCATTCTCTTTTCTCTTGCAGTTTCCTCTGTCTTGGCAAAAACTGTCATGGTGGTTCTGGCTTTCATGGCTACCAAGCCAGGGAACAAGACAAGGAAATTCTTAGGAAAATCACTGACCAATTGCATTGTTGTATCCTGTCCTCTTGTCCAAGCGGTTCTTTGTGCCATCTGGCTTATAACTTCTCCCCCATTTCCCAACTTGGATTTCCACTCCTTGATAGGAGAGACCATCTTGGAATGTAATGAAGGCTCAGCTTTAATGTGTTATGCTGTCCTTGCCTATCTGGGTTTCTTAGCCCTCATCAGTTTCACTGTGGCATTCCTAGCTAGGAAATTGCCTGATAGTTTTAATGAAGCCAAATTCATTACTTTCAGCATGCTGGTCTTTTGCAGTGTTTGGATCTCCTTCCTCCCCACCTACCTGAGCACCAAAGGGAAGTCCATGGTGGCTGTGGAGATCTTCTCCATCTTGGCCTCTGGAGCTGCTCTCTTGGCTTGTATCTTTTTCCCCAAATGCTACATTATTTTACTGAGGCCCCATCTGAATTGTAAAGAAAATATGATAAGGAACAAAAATCTCTGATTCATGCAGGGATGGGAAACATATTTATCTTTGAGGCATGTTTAGTATCTGATGATATTTCTAAAACATGACAGAGAAGAAGAAACAGATCCATTTAATAATGCCTTACTCAAGTGCTATAACTGGTCATAATAGTGAGTATTCATGAAGCCACGTTCATTACTTTTAGCATGCTGGTCTTTTGCAGTGTTTAGATCTCCTTCCTCCCCATCTACCTGAGCACTAAAGGGAAGTCCATGGTGGCTGTGGAGATCTTCTCCATCTTGGCCTCTGGAGCTGCTCTCTTGGCTTGTATCTTTTTCCCCAAATGCTACATTATTTTACTGAGGCCCCATCTGAATTGTAAAGAAAATATGATAAGGAACAAAAATCTCTGATTCATGCAGGGATGGGAAACATATTTATCTTTGAGGCATGTTTAGTATCTGATGATATTTCTAAAACATGACAGAGAAGAAGAAACAGATCCATTTAATAATGCCTTACTCAAGTGCTATAACTGGTCATAATAGTGAGTATTCATGAAGCCACGTTCATTACTTTTAGCATGCTGGTCTTTTGCAGTGTTTAGATCTCCTTCCTCCCCATCTACCTGAGCACTAAAGGGAAGTCCATGGTGGCTGTGGAGATCTTCTCCATCTTGGCCTCAGGGACTGGTCTCTTGGCTTGTATCTTTCTTCCCAAATGTTTCATCATCCTACTGAGGCCTAATCTGAATCGTAGAGAAAATATAATGAGACACACACATCTTTAATTTATGCTGGCATTCAAAAGTTCGATTTTAATTTGATTTGATTTTTTTATTTGATTTGATTTCTAAAACATTCTGAAATGAGAGGAGAGTTTGTCTATTAACTGGAAAACATGATTTGGCTAATCACAAAGTTCATTTTAGTGATCAACTAACTGATCCTGTTAGTAATTTTTATTTTTTTAGAATGCAAATTTTATTAAGTGCTTTAATTCTGTTTTCCATACCTCTTTGATACCACCAAGTGGTCATCCAGATGTTTGCATCCCAATCTAGTAACTCCTCATTTCCATTTCATCTTCTAGGTCAGGGGTAATTAATTTCAGATTATTACAGTGATAGCCCAGAAACCAGAACAAGTAAAAACACTAGGTGAATATCCAATTAAAAATTCTAGAATAAAATAATAAATAACAGATAAAATCTATGATGAAATCCAGTCTGTCAATTACACATGGTCTAACTATAGTAAAATTACAATCCATAACCTATGAGGCCCGTAGTCAGTTTAATACTAAAAGGGAATGGAATAAGCAGTGCAAAGGGTTTGCCACATTTGCTGTATAAAATACGGTAGCTATGTTGGATTAGACACATGTTTCCAATGAATCCCCAGTGCTGTGGCACAGAATTTAGCCACCTGCTCTGTAGTTATTTATTATTTATTTATTTATTTATTTATTTATTTATTTATTTATTTATTATTTATTTATTTATTTATTTATTTATTTATTTATTTTTATTTATTTATTTATTTATTTATTTATTTAATTTTTTATACCGCCTTTCTCCCGAAGGACTCAGGGCGGTGAACAGTCAAAATAAACATATATATAAAAATGTGAATAGAAGCAATAAATAATAATTAAGTCAATTTGGCTTATCAGTTAAGTTAAGATCTTCAGAATAAAATTTACACAATTAGGAAAAGGAAAGAAAAAAATTAATTATGCCAGCCCGGCTTGGTGAAAGGGGAAGGTCTTAAGTGCCCGACGGAAAGTACGAAGATCTGGGTATCCTGTTCCAAAGGGTAGGTGCCCCCACAGAGAAGGCTCTCCCCCTGGGAACCCCCAGTCGACATTGCTTTAGTGATGGTACCCTGAGGAGGCCCACTCTGTGGGAGCCTACTGGTTGGTGGGAGGTTATAGGTTGCAGAAGGTGGTCTCGTAGGTACCCAGTTATGGACTGTTCATCCTTAAGCAGCCACTGGAGATGGCTGGAGTGTCAGAAAGGCCAGGATACCTAGCAATTATTGGATTTTTTTTTTCAAATCTCTTTGTAAAAGGAACATCGAAGGAGTGTGTGACCAATGATATCCACCTCTCCTGGGTCACAGGAATAGAGTCTTTCAATCAGTGGTATCTTTTTATACTTGCCATACAGGACAGCCTGTATGTATCAAACATATGACCCTCTGAATATTTTTCCTGTGCTCTCAACCATACCCAAGGAAGAATAAGAGCCTTGCAGGGAATTCCTCTCTTACATGGCGATGACTTTCCCAAGACAAGTTTGTTAATGGAAAAAGATTTGAAGATTTTTTTTTTCAGGAGGCAACTGGACTTTCTTTTCTTTTTTTTCTTTAAAGACGTTTCACTTCTCATCCAAGAAGCTTCACTATCCTCTGACAGGATAGTGGGGAATGTCAGAGCTGAAGAATCTTCTTGGATGAGAAGTGAAACATCTTCAAAACAACAACAACAAGAGAGTCCAGTTACCTCCTGAAAAAAAAAGCACCTTCGAGACAACCATGACTTGGATGACTGAGAATCTCTACAGACATTTGAAGAAGTGCCAGAAGAAGAGATCATGCTCAAGGTGAGAAGCTGAGGTGGTGCAGTGGTTAGAGTACAGTACTGCAGCTACTTCAGCTGACTGCTAGTTCAGCAGATCAGTGGATCAAATCTCACCGGCTCAAGGTTGACTCAGCCTTCCATCCTTCCGAGGTGGGTAAAATGAGGACCCAGATTGTTAGGAGCAATATCTATTTAGTATACTGTCTTTGGTGTAAGCCGCCCAGAGTCCTCGGAGAGTGGGTGGCATAGAAATATGACTAATAAATAAATAATAAATAAATAAATAAAGATCAACTGCCAATACAGTGAGGGTTGGTTCTGACACTGTTCTTAAATCATTCCAATACTTTTTTTTTTCTTATTTTCTTTCTTATTAATGTATATTATATACCTGTTGGGGTCTATACTATACTGACTTGGTGATGTGCGGATTTCGGAGCCTCCAGAGGTTGACCCTAGAGAGGCAGAGGAACAGGAGGATGAGAAGAGCTGCCAGAAGGCAGGAGCAGCTAAAGCAGAGAGGAGTAGGGCCAAGAGATGATTGGCCCCTCCCATAAGGCTTAAAAGACCAGCAATGGCTGTTGGCCTCTTTGCTGGAAAACAACGTTGAGAGAATTCACTTCTTGTTTCACTGTATTTATTTCTTGTCGGCATCTTCTGCTTCTGAACTTTTGCCAAGAAAAGCCTTTGGTAGTTTGCCTAATTACATCAAGGTTGGTGATAAATTGAGGAATGGTGTTTTGAAGAATTTGCTTTAATTTAGTTTGGACTACACTGAGAATGAGTTAATTCTCAGCTGTTCTAATAAAGCCTGTTTGTTTTCAAACTGTTTGCATTTAACTAGTTGGGCCTGGGTCACGATAGGTGACCTCGGAATGGGACAACTTGCTTTGGCCAATTTGTTGCGACCAACTCGACACGGCCAACTCACCATGGGGCAACTCACTGCGGGACAATTTAACAATTCAATTTAATTATTTAAAATAAATTATTTTAATATTTATCATCCACATTTCATTATGTCCCTCCTTTTGCATCCTTTCTTTCATGATTCCAGTCCACCATTTCTTTGATACTAGTGTAACTCTTGTCCTGCCACGAGTTATTCCAGGGCCATGGAAAGTTAGCCATGGTGAATTGTCATAGACTCTGGTTATAGCTTTGCTGGCTTTCTGAATCTTTGGTGGCCCTACCTGAAAGTCTAAGTTGGAGCTTGGATCTTCTGCATTTAGAGAATGTCTCCTTCTTTAAAATAAGGACAAGTCCAGGCTTTATGGTTCTGAATCATAGAAGGGGTCATATCTTGAGCTCAGCCACTCATCTAGCTCACCAGGCATCTTGGAAATTCCCCAGCTGTTGCTCTCCATGCCACAAACCTCTTGCTCAGCAGGTTGGGAAGGCACAAAATGTGTGTTCCATCAGTGAGCAGGTCTATGCATGATTGTACTTCCAAGAGTATGGCCATTGCATAAGGATGATACCTGGCCTCGAACTGAGAAGGCGTCACTAATGTCCTTAAAATTCAGGGTTTAGTCTCAAGTATCTCCCCTTCAACCAAACTAACTGGGATCAACTTTGGAAAAAGGAGACCACCCTATAACATTGTACACCCATTCATATTACCTCAGCCAATCCAGAGGTTTACCATGTATAATGATATCTTTCCCATGAATACCATTGACAATTCTGAAGACATACTTCACAAGAAAAAGGAAACAAACTTTCATAGCACCATTTCATTATTAGCAAGAGGTACGAGGTTGTTGTTGTCCACCAGCAGCCTGCAGAGCTGGCAGTGGAGTTGGACAGTCCAAACGCTGTAAGTAGAATGACTGCAAATCAATCAATCAATCAATCAAATCAATCACTCCAGCAGGGCAAGATAATGAGTTTTCCATAGTGTTTGGAAAAGAGTCAAATATTTGGTCATACTTCTGATTGCTTAGATCTCCACCAAAGAAACTCCTCTTGTATTTTCCTCTCCTAAAATGATGGCCCTCAAAGAATAGGACAAAGGATATAAATTGTTTCAGCTCCTACCCTCAAAATGACATTATAGAGCACTGCACACCAGAAGAACTAGACACAAGAACAGTTTTTTCCCAAACACCATCACTCTGCTAAACAAATAATTCCCTCAACACTGTCAAGCTATTCACTAAGGCTGCATTTCTATTACTATTAGTCTTCTCATCGTTCCCATCACCTATTTCCTGCCATATATGACTGCATGATTGTAACTTTGTTGCTTGTATCCTTAAGATTTATATTGATATTGTTTCCTGATTTCTTATTTGTACCCTATGACTATCATTAAGTATTGTACCTTATGATTCTTGATGAACGTATGTTGTCTTTTTATGTACACTGAGAGCATATGCACCTAAGATAAATTCCTTGTATGTCCAATCACACTTGGCCAATAAAGAATTCTATTCTATTCTATTCTATTCTATTCTATTCTATTCTATTCTATTCTATTCTATTCTATTCTATTCTACTCTACTCTACTCTACTCTACTCTACTCTACTCTACTCTACTCTATTCTATTCTATTCTATTCTATTCTATTCTATTCTATTCTATTCTCCTTAGTTTTAAGTTGCTTCTCTCCTTGATTCGTTTCCACCCATTGCTTCTTGTTCTACCCTCAGGTGTTTAGAGAATAGTTTGACTCCCTCTTCTTTGTGGCAGCCCCTGAGATATTGGAACACTGCTATCATGTCTCCCTTAGTCTTCCTTATTAGGATAGAACTGACCGACATTGCCATAACACCCCATTAACACTTATGCTGGTCAACAAAACTATGGAAGAGGCCAAACTCCATTTTGTGTGCACATGCTCAGCTTTACATAACTCAAGTACCCAACTTCACCTTGAGTCTCAAATGCATGTGCTCTGTAGATTAACAAGAGATTCAAACTTTGAGACTTTAGAAAGAGTGCAGAGAAAAGCAACGAAGATGATTAGGGGACTGGAGGCTAAAACATATGAAGAACGGTTGCAGGAACTGGGTACGTCTAGTTTAATGAAAAGGACTAGGGGAGATATCTCAGGAGCTGCCACAAAGAAGAGGGAGTCAAGCTATTCTCCAAAGCACCCGAAGGCAGGACAAGAAGCAATGGGTGGAAACTATTCAAGGAGAGAAGCAACTTGGACCTAAGGAGGAATTTCCTGGCAGTGAGAACAATTAATCAGTGGAACAATTTGCTTCTAAAAGTTGTGAATGCTCCAACACTGGAAGTTTTTAAGAAGATGTTGGATAACCATTTGTCTGAAGTGGTGTAGGGTTTCCTGCCTGGGCAGGGGGTTGGACTAGATGACCTGCAAGGTCCCTTCCAACTCTGTTATTCTATTCTAAACTTGTTTTTCCCTTTGGGTGCACAAAACAAAATCTAGTGCTAAGTGGGTAGGGCAATTACTTTCCTTGCAATTATCAGAAGAGCAGTAATTCTTAATCTATTGCCTGTGGATTTCTACCCACAAAAGTCTTCCCCCCCCAAAAAAACCCTGCTTTAAATTATATGCTTGAAGTTCTCCCAGTAGGGGAAGGACATGTCACCTTACTTATCTTGCAAAGAACAAACTCCTGGCTTTGATGAGACTCAGCTGGACTTAATTTTCTCTTTGGTCACAGCCCAAACCCAAGTAAGAGGAAGCACAGTTGATATAAATTTGCCCTAGGACCATCCAGGTGGCGCATGCTATCTCCATTGTGCTAAAGCACTGGTGATATTTCAAATGCTACCTGCAATTCAGCTTTTGCACAAATATTGATTTCTGATCTAGGAAGGAAGGCGACACAAATGACTGGGCTGCCTTACCTGTTGCTCCTCTTCTGGCTCCTGACTCCAACTACTGCTAAACGGAAACAAACTGGGTGTGTGTTGACAAACGCCTTACAGACTAAGAGAGACTTTTACAAGCCTGGTGATTTCATTATTGGTGGGAATTTTCCCCTGCGAGCCGTATATTCATTCAAAACCCACGAGTTTCACAAAGACCCATCTGTGTTTCGAGAACATAATTTGTAAGTTTCGCATGGAGGGAAAGATGTAAATAATTATTTGATTTGTTTTATATTCAGAGCAGAGGTGGGCTTCACATCAGTGGTGAAATCTAAAATTTGTTACTACCGATTCTGTGGTGGGGGGTGTAATGTGACTGGGTGGGCATGGCCAACTTTTTTTTTTTAACTTTTAAAACCATTTTTTCTACAACCTCTTTGGCTGAAGAGATTGTTTTAAAAAATGGTTTTAAAAGCCTCTGAACGATCCCAGCTGAGTTGCCTGATCGGCAGAGGCTTTTTTTTCTTTTAAAACCATTTTTTCTACAACCTCTTCGGCCAAAGAGGTTGTAAAAAAAATGTTTTTAAAAGTCTCTGATGATCCCAGCTGAGTTGCGCGATCATCTGAGGCTTTTTCTTTTTAACTTTTAAAAGCATTTTTTTTGGCCGAAGAGGTTGTAAAAAAAAACTTTTAAAAGGCTCTGATGATCCCAGCTGAGCCGCATGATCATCTGAGGCTTTTTTTTAACTTTTAAAAGCATTTTTTCGGCCGAAGAGGTTGTAGAAAATATGCTTTTAATTTTTTTTTTAAAAAAGCCTCTGATGATTGCATGGCTCGGCTGGCCATGGGGGGGGGGGCAGGGATTTTTGCTACCAGTTCTCTGAAACACCCGCCTCCATCGCTACCAGATCAGGCGATCCGGTCTGAACCGGGAGCATTTCACCTGAACTGGTCCAAAGGATCTGAATACCACCTTTGATTCAGAGACTCCTTTCAGAAATACTTGTTCTAGTGATGTTTTCATTTTCAAAAAAGCTTTGCTTTGTAGATTTTATTTTGTTTGCCAACTCTTCATTTTCCATTAAATTCAACTTGTGTTTTTTCAACTCCATCAGATTCTTAATTTGTTTTATCTTGTGGATTTTTCTGTAACTCCATCTCTCACTTCTTGTACTCCTCCTCTAATTTCTTATGCATTTGTTCATTTTGCTTATTCCGTTTTCCAAAATATGTCATTGTCAATCCTCCAATATAAGCATATAGTGATGTCTGCAATGCCCTAGTGTAGTTTAGATCTTTGTGCTTTCCTCAATAAAGAGCCAAACTCATAAAATAGAGTAGGATTCTCAATCTTTCCAGAACTCTTCATCAGGAAGATGATAAACCACATAAAAAGTGAGGTGGGACAACACAAAAGAAGCTGCGCTGGTCTAGTGAAGAAGTTGACTTATAAGATTAATTTGAGCAGCAAAAACCATGGTGGGAAACTCAAAGATAAGGTCAACTCATTTATAACGTGAAAGAGTTTAGAGGGGAAAAAACCTTCAATTTTGGAATCAGCATTGCTCATGAATAATAATATTTAGTAAATCTATACTGTGATCCCCGACTGGAGTTTTGTGGTCAGCCCAGGTTACCAGAGTGGAAGAAGCTGCTCCAAGAGAGACCTAAATTGCTGGAGGAGCACTTGGGAAGGATTACAGCCACTGCAGCAAAGTGAAGAAGAGAGGGACAATAGAGGAGTATAAAATGACCTTGGATATAGAACAGAAAAGAACAGAACAGAACAATAACTTTATTGTCACTTTGAATGTACACTAATCGACATACATTAAAATGAAATTTTGTTGCATACAGCTCTTGAAAGGGTCACCACCTCCAATATACACTACATAAACATGACAGAATGAATGAATGAATGAATGAATGAATGAATAAAAATTTATGCATATACCCACATATATTATATGACACAGAGAAACAAGACAGTCTAGTTCGGATGTATATATGTACATGGTGAGAAAAATGAATCTTGCGATTTACCAGATGGAGGGCATAGGGAACAAAGCTGTTACAGAATCTGGGAGTCCTGTTAGAAATAATTCGAATCCTCCTCCCAGAGGGGAGCAACAAAAACACACCATAAAGTGGGTATGTAGGGTCTTTAATAATGCTTCAACTCTAAGCACATAGTGCTTATAAGCAGTATCCTGAATGACAGAAAGCGAGCGTCCTATAATCTTCTCCACTGTCCTCACCACTCTCTGTAGGGACTTTCTATCTGAGGCACTGCTGCCACCAAACCAAACAGGGATGCAGTTTGTTAAAAGGCTCTCAATCGTGCCTCTGTAAAAAGTGGCCAGGACAGAAGGAGAAAGATGTGCTCTCCTCATCTGACACAGGAAATGCAGATGCTGATTTGTCTATATGGATAGATAGATATGTCTCCTTTCTCTCAAAGCCATCAAATATCAATCACAGCACATACTTAAGAAAAAAAAGGCTGTTTAAATTTGTAGACTTCTTGCTACAAAGAACAATGAAAAAAAAGGCGTAACAAACTCCACCAGCACTCATAAGCTTTCCCATAATTTTTCTCAATGATTTTCTCATTCTCACAGAGTCATACCCAAAAACTACCAGCAGCTCATGGCCTTGGTGTCTGCAGTCTCAGAGGTCAACAAAGATCTAGTTCTCTTGTCCAACGTCACCCTTGGCTTCACCATCTATAGCAATTCTCAGACTGAGATGTCAATTTCCTCAAACAGCGTCTTCCTGCTCTCCACACGAGGCCAAATGGTTCCAGGTTACAAATGTGACATGAAGGACCCTCTGCTCTCTGTCATTGGAGGTCTCAAATCCAAATCCTCAAGGCAGATGGCCTCCATCTTCAGCATCTTCAAGATCCCACAGGTAAGAAGGCTTCATTGGATATGACATGGGGTAGACAACAAGAGAAGTACACACAGTAGCCAGAGATGAAACCAAAGTTGTTTACAGGAGGGGCAAATGCCACACTTTCCAAGAGGAATTCCTTCCTAACACATTTTTCTTAAAAGAGTAACCATCCTTTCAATCTAGTGTATTCTCTCTATTAGATTGATAGATTGTTCCATTTGGTTTCTGACATGTCACAACCAAGCAATCTATGTAATCTCTTCTGCTTAATATGTAACCGTTCTTCCTAAGAAGGTAAGAAAATTAAATTTTCCACTCAAAGTGAGCTAGCCTAACTGGTGGGGCAATAATCCATACAATGGTGATCCCTGAAATCACTATCAAATTCACTATCAGTTGTAGGAATTGGGTATGTCTACTCTGGAGAAAAAAAAGGATTACAGGACACATGATAGCAGTGTTCCAATATTTAAGGGTCTGCTACAAAGAAGAGGGAGATCAACCTATTTTCCAAAGCACCAGAAGGCAAAACAAGAAATGATGGATGGAAGCTAAGCAAGGAAGAGAACCAATCTAGAATTAAGGAGAAATTTCTTAACACTGAGAACAATCAGCCAATAGAACAGCTTGCCTTCAGAAGTTGTGGTTGTTCCATCACTCCATACTTTTAAGAGTGGACATCCATTTGTCTGAAAATGGTATAGCATTTCCTGCTTGCGCAGGGGGTTGAACTAGAAGATTGGCAAAGTCCCGATGATGACAATGATGACAATGATGAATTCATACAATACAATAATGACTCCTAAAATCACCATAAAGCTTTAATCAATCACTTTCTCCAGCTCGGTGTTGGCTTTGAGTTCACTCAGGGAGACAGAAGAGTTTATCCTTCCTTCTTCCGGATTAATCCCAATGAGTTTCTTCAGTATGTAGGCTTAATCCAGCTGCTCCTGTACTTCCAGTGGAACTGGGTTGGGCTTATGGCTCCTGAAGACGACAGTGGAGAACGTTTCATCTCATCTCTGACGCCAATGCTGAAGGAGAAGGAGATCTGCTTGGCCTTCACAGAAAAGTTGAAATTGAATTTTCTTGCTACTCCAATGTTGGAATTTGTTCATATTTTCAAAACATGGTCTAAAGCTGAAGTGATGATTCTGTTTGGAGACCCCAACAGTATTAGAAATGTACAGGCGGCAATGAGTATCCATGAACATTTGAGAAAGACATCATTTTTCAAAGTTTGGATCTTAACTTCTCATTGGAAACTTAGCGTGGTCAGGAATCAAGACATATTGAAAGTTGTAAAGCCCTTCCATGGGGCTTTGCATTTTAGGCACCACACAGGGGATGTCTCAAAATTCAGGCATTTCCTCCTGTCTTTAGACCCCTTGAACCCACAAGGAGACATCTTTCTCCCTCTATACTGGGAAATGTTGTTTAGCTGCACGGTGCACAAACCAGGCAAGATCCTTCGAAAGAGGGAAAAACGATGTACAGGAAAGGAGAATTTACAGAACCTACCTTCTTACATTTTTGAAACAAGCATGGAAGGTGAAAGTTACAATGTCTACAATGCCATTTTTGCTGTGGCACATGCATTACATGCAGTGTATGGATCCAGAGCCCAACCATCTATGATGAGGCTTGGAAAGAGGACCTCAAATGTCCAGTCATGGCAGGTAATTTCAGAGACTTTTTATCTAGTCCACAGATCCTTAGAGAGGAAGCTTCCCATATACATGTCTTGATTTACTGATTCAGTTTCTGCATTCTACCATATTAATACAACTCAGAAGAGATTGAGACAGCAATTATTTTAAAAACTGTCAAAAATGGTGGTGGGGTGGGGAAGAGAAGTTAGAATAGAATAACAGAATTGGAAGGGACCTTGGAGGTCTTCTAGTCCAACCCCCTGTCCAGGCAAGAAACCCTACACCACTTCAGACAGATGGTTATCCAACATCATCTTAAAATCTTCCAGTATTGGAGCATTTACAACTTCTGGAGGCAAGTTGTTCCACTGATTCATTGTTCTCACTGTCAGGAAATTTCTCCTTAGTTCTAAGTTGCTTCTCTCCTTGTAAGCCAAACCAGTTGTCCATAAGATCCATAGAGTAAAGAACTTCCTCTAAATTCCTGAAGGATCTTCAAAGGTTGCCTGAGAGTCAGTGGTGACTATTCCAAGGAGGACATGTCAACCCAGAGCAAGATGACAATCTGGGCACTTTTATGCAAGATTCTTTAACAGATCAGTTGGAGTCCTAGTGGGCATATTTGCAGAAGCAGCTCAGTTTCCCTCAGTAGCTAACCTGAATTCAACCTGTAAAAAGACACTCAAATGATTTTAACCTTGATTTAGTCTCCATTGTGACACCACCTCATTTCTTTAATTTGCCATTTCTTATATTGCTTTGCAAGTTGTGTTAAAACAACCTCTGCCAACCTCAGTATATACAGCAGGACTTACTATGACCCTAATTGGCTCCTAGTCTTTAATTCATCAAACCTTTCAGCTAAGTATGAAGATCTATTCTATTCAGAATAGAGCTGAAAGGAACGTTGGAGGTCCTAATCCAGCCTCCTACTCAAGCAGGAGACCTCATACCACTTCAGTGGTTGTCCAGTCTCTTCTTAAAAGCCTCCAGTGATGGAGCACCCACAATCTCTGAAGGCAACATGTTCCACTGGCTAATTCTCCTCACTGTTAGGAAATTTCTCCTTAATTCTAGGTTGCTTCTCTCCTTGATTAGTTTCCATTCATTGTTTCTCTCTTTCCTTCTGGTGCTTTGGAATATAAATAATTCATCAGTCTTGATGAATAATTAATTCATCAGAGTTTCAGCTAAATGTCCAACCTTAAATATCCAAAGGTAAAGAGAATGAATTGTCATTTTGGGAATGGAATCATTCGATATTACTCCTGATTACTGAGATCTGCACCAAGGGAACTCTTCTAGATTCTCAGACACATTCCTTGCTCTTAAAATGCTGGCCATCACATTATGATAAAAGCCATGGTATCTCATGTTTGGCTTTCAGTCAGTTACTATAGGCTTAAGATACAGAAGGATCTTGACAGACTTGAATATTGGGCACTATTTAACAAAAAGAAATCCAATGGTGAAAAAAGTAAGGTTCTACATTTAGGCAAGAAAAACCAAATATGCACAGGTACAATATATGTGGTACCTTGCTCAATAGTAGTAACTGTGAGAGGGATCTTGGAGTCCTAGTGGACAACCATTAAAATATGAGCCAGGCGTGTGCAGCAGCTGCCAAAAAAGCCAACACAGTTCTAGGCTGCATCAACAGAGGGATAGAATCAAGATCACATGAAGTATTAGTACCTCTTTATAAAGCCTTGGTAAGGCCACACTTGGAATGCTACATTCAGTTTTGGTCACCGTGATGTAAAAAAGATGTTGAGACTCTAGAAAGAGTGCAGAGAAGAGCAACAAAGATGATTAGGAGACTGGAGGCTAAAAGATATGAAGAAGGTTGCAGGAAGTGGGTATGTCTAGTTTAATGAAAAGAAAAACTAGGGGAGACATAATAGCAGTCTTCCAATATCTCAGGGGTTGCCACAAAGAAGAGGGAGTCAAGCTATTCTCCAAAGCACCTGAGGGAAGGACAAGAAGCAATGGGTGGAAACTACTCAAGGAGAGAAGCAACTTAGAACTAAGGAGAAGTTTCCCGACAGAACAATTAATCAGTGGAACAACTTGCCTCCAGAAGTTGTAAATGCTCCAACACTGAAAGATTTTAAAAAGATGTTGGATAACCATTTGTCTGAAGTGGTATAGGGTTTCCTGCCTAAGCAGGGGATTGGACTAGAAGACCTCCACGGTCCCTTCCAACTCTGTTAGTCTATTCTATTCTTTGAACATTAGGTAAAGGTAAAGGTTCCCCTCGTACATATGGTGCTAGTCGTTCCTGACTCTAGGGGGCAATGCTCATCTCCATTTCAAAGCCAAAGAGCCAGCGCTGTCTGAAGACATCTCCATGGTCATGTGGCCGGCATGACCAAATGCCAAAGGCACACGGAATGCTGTTACCTTCCCACCAAAGGTGGTCCCTATTTTTCTAGTTATTCCTGTTATTCTAGTATGTTCTAGTATGTTACTCCAATTTCTGAAGGTCTATTTTCATTCAGATTCTCCCCTATCTGAGGAACATCAAATTCAACAATAGTGCTGGAGAGGAAGTCTCCTTCTTAGAAAATGGATTGTTGTCTGCTCTATATGATCTTCTCAACTGGCTTTTCCTCCCCAATCAATCTTTTGTCCCTGTGAAAGTGGGGCAAATAAATCCCGGAGCGCCCCCAGGCCAGGATTTCACCATTAACTCCGATGCAATCATCTGGACCAAAAAGGTGAGCTGGGAGGAAATGGAAATTCAGCAAAGGATTCATTCACTCCAGAGGATGCAAATGCACCCTTTTAACTGGAAAACAAATCAGAAACTATTTTAGGAACGAGGTGAAAAAACTGCATTCGAGTTTAACGCATTTTAGATTTGGTTTCTGAAAAGTCCAAGAAAGGAAAGGATTAGGAAGAACTCCTACTTGAAATTTAAGATGCCATTGGAACAGGCAACAATGATTTCTTTAGTTGGATGATTTTTTGTTTCATACAAAGGATGTATCTCAATGTCCTAAGTTTTCTTTTGAATGCTGATGTCAATCAATCAGAATAGAGCTGGAAGGAATCTTGGAGGTCTTCTAGTCCGACTCCCTGCTCAAGCAGGAGACCCTATACCATTGCAGACAAGTGACTGTCCAGTCTCTTCATAAAAACCTCCAGTGATGAAGCACCTACAACTTCTGAAGACAAGTTGTTGCATTGGTTAATTGTCCTCACTGTTAGGAAGTTTCTCCTTAGTTCTAAGTTGCTTCTCTCCTTGAATAGTTTCCACCCGTTGCTTCTTGTCCTACCCTCAGGTGCTATCGACAATAGTTTGACTCCCTCTTCTTTGTGGCAGCCCCTGAGATATTGGAACACTGCTATCATGTCTCCCCAGTCCTTCTTTTCATCAGACTAGACATACCCAGTTCCTGCAACCATTCTTCATATCTTTTAGCCTCCAGACCTTTAATCATCTTACTTGCTCTTCTGTGCACTTTTTCCAAAGTCTCAACATCTCTTTTGTAATGTGGTGACCATAACTGGATGCAGTCCTATTTACAAGGTCTAGCATCCATTGGTGGGTCAGGAGTGCCAATGGCTTCAATCCCATAGGAGTTTTCTCTGGTTTCTGATCCCCTGGCAAACCATTTCTTCTGAAGACATTATGGAGATGGATGTAGGAATAGGAATAAATGAAGCACACTCATTGCTTCAACCATCTGAAATAGTTTTCTTTTAGGTAAAGGTTCCCCTCGCAGATATGTGCTAGTCATTCCTGACTCTAGGGGGCGGTGCTCAACTCCGTTTCAAAGCCGAAGAGCCAGCGCTGTCTGAAGACGTCTCCATGGTCATGTGGCCGGCATGACTAAATGCCAAAGGCACACGGAACGTGTTACCTTCCCAACAAAAGTGGTCCCTATTTTTCTACTTGCATTTTTTACGTGCTTTCAAACTGCTAGGTTGGCAGAAGCTGGGACAAGTAAGCTCACCCCGTTACGCGGCACTAGGGATTCGAACCGCTGAACTGCCGACCTTTCAATCGACAAGCTCAGCATCTTAGCCGCTGAACCATTGAGCCTCTATGTCCCTTCCTACACATTTTCTTTCAAAAGGTGCCTTTTGCCAGGTGTGGCCTGAAGAGGTGCCAGGCAGGAGAGAGGAGAAGAGTTCCAGAGGGCGAGCAGGTTTGCTGCTACAAATGTGAACATTGTCCAGAAGGAACCATTTCTAATCAAACAGGTAATATAGACCAGCGTTTCCTGTTTCTGGCTTTGTGGACCGGCGGGAGGGAGAGACAGGGGACGGTCCCGCATGAGTAGTCAGCAAGCGCATGCACACAGCTCCAGTAAGGATGCACGTGGACTCACTGCCCATTTCCATGGCCTTCTTGCAAACCCCTCACAGCCCACTAGAGGGCAGCAGCCCACAGGTTGTGGACTCTCTGGTGTAGACTTCAAATATTGATCATAACAGATCAATGCTGCAATTCAGAGGTCAAATGTTAATCTTTTTGGTCATTTTGGATAGAACTGACGTGATTCAATGCATTCCTGGTTTTCAGCAGAATCTTTCATCTTATGCAAGACGGATCTATGGATCTAAGCTATCCTGACCATGTTCCTCACCAATTTAATGCAGGATAGTTTCAGGGCACCATTTACAGGTTTCCTATTAGATTTTTCCACTCCTAGTCTCACACCCCACTGGGGAAATCAACAACCAACCTTTTCCTGAAAAAAATGGAGTGTATGGTTGAAGCTTTTATTTTTTAGGGTGTCAGCACTATCAATCTCCTATGAAATTGACAGATGGGTCAGAGCAGGGGTGGGTTCTACTTACCTTTACTACTGGTTCACAATGGGATTGCATGTGCTCACTCGCTTCGCTCATGCCTTGCTTTTGCGCATGGCCCTTGCTTCTGCACATGCGCAGATTGCTTCTGATGACGTCAGGGTCAGTGGGAGGAGCCTTCTGCCAGTTTTACTACCGGTTCTATAGAACCGGTCTGAACCGGGGGCAACCCACCACTGGGTCAGAGAAAGAGGAGATCTGTCTATCCATGTCTACGAACTAATTTTAGCAAAAATAGATTGAATGAAAGGATTTGAAATCCAAAGCAGAGAAATTGAGCCAAAGAGATCCCATTTCTCTTGTGACTCTGGATCTTTTTTTTTTCCTTCAACACCCCGGAAACTGGTTTCCGTGTCATTCATTTTTCATGTGATATGCTGAGATTGCAAAGTGGCCAGAGCATGCTATAAATCAGAGTTTATTTATTTATTTATTTATTTATTTATTTATTATTGAATTTTTATACCGCCCTTCTCCCTGAGGACTCAGGGCGGTGTACAGCCAAAATTAAAAAACATGCAGGACAAATATTAAAAAACAATTTAAAAGATATATAAATTTGGCCCAATTAAAACTCATTACCAATTAAAATGTTTAAAACATTTAAAAACAATTAAAAATTTCCCAACATTTTTCCCAACAACTTCCCAACAGGAGTTCCCCAACATTTTTGCAGATTGGGGGGGAAGGGGAATGGTTGCTACTGCATTTGCACAAGCAGTGAACATTTGTGCACCTGTCACTCGTGCTCCTGTCACTCGTGGGACCAGAAGTCAGCAAACGGGCCATTTCTGGCCTGTGGAGGGCCTCCAGGAGGGTGGGGAAGGCTGTTTTTGTCCTCCCTAGGCTCCTAGAAAGACTCTGGAGGCTGGGGAGAGCAAAAAACAGGACTTCTGGTCCCACTGGAAGTTGGCAAACAGCCGTTTCTGGCCTCCAGAGGGCCTCTGGGGGGTGGGGAAGGCCATTTTCACTCTCCCGAAGCTCCTAGAAAGGCTCTGGAGCCTGGGGAGAGAGAAAAACGGGCCTACTGGGCCCACCGGGCCATCACGTGCCAGGAGTGGGGGGGGTTGCATGCGCATGTGTGGGGTCAGGGCACATAAAATTATGGGTGTGGGCATGCATGCGCACAACCACCCTCCCCCCCACTAATGGCACGCGATGGCAAAAAGGTTAGCCATCACTGTTCTATATTGACAGGAGCTGAAGCATGTGAAAGGAGCTCACCCCATCCCGTGGCAACAACTAGGTCTCAAACGTGGGCCTGCCAATCATCAGCCCAGCATCCTAACCCCGTGAGCCACTGTGCTCCTATTTCCAGGGTTATCCTGAATGAAGACTGATTTGCCCTTTGTGATGCCAGATAAAGTTCACACCAACTCATTCCATCTCCATCTTTGTGGGCTGGCCACAGCAGAAAAGGGATTGTCATGTCAGGCTGAGTAAGGGATAATGTTCAATGCGGATGCTGAAATACTTAAACAGAGACTCTTGATTTCAGATGCAGCTCGCTGTGACCCTTGCTCTGATGACCAGTACCCCAACTATGACAACAACCACTGCATTGCCAAGAAGGTCCATTTCCTTGCCTATCAAGATACCTTGGGATACACTTTAATTTCTCTCTCTCTTTCTCTCTTTGTGATCACATTGGCAGTCCTGGCAATTTTCCTTAAACATCGTGACACACCAATCATCAAGGCCAACAACCGAGATCTCACCTATATCCTCCTGGTCTCTCTGCAGCTCTGCTTCCTCTGCTCCTTCCTCTTCATTGGTCAACCTGGAAAGTTCACCTGTCTCTTCCGACAAACTGTCTTTGCCGTTATCTTCTCCCTTGCAGTTTCCTCTGTATTAGCCAAAACTCTCATGGTGGTTCTGGCATTCATGGCCACCAAGCCAGGGAACAAGACAAGGAAACTCTTAGGAAAACCACTGACCTACTCCATTGTCTTAGTCTGTCCTTTCATCCAAGGAATTATTTGTGCCATCTGGCTAGTCACCTCTCCTCCATTTCCCAACTTGGACTTCTACTCCTTGGTAGGAGAGGCCATCTTGGAATGTAATGAAGGCTCAGATTCAATGTTTTATGCTGTCCTCACCTATCTGGGTTTCCTGGCCCTGGTCAGTTTCACAGTGGCCTTTATGGCTAGGAAATTGCCTGACAGCTTTAATGAAGCCAAGTTCATTACTTTTAGCATGCTGGTCTTTTGCAGTGTTTGGATCACCTTCCTCCCCACCTACCTGAGTACCAAAGGGAAGTCCATGGTGGCCGTGGAGATCTTCTCCATTTTGGCCTCTGGAGCTGCTCTCTTGGCCTGTATCTTTTCCCCCAAATGTTACATTATTTTACTGAGGCCTGACCTGAATTGTCGAGAGAATATAATGAGGCACAAGAATTTCTGATTTATGAAGGAATTGGGAAATGTATTTTGATTTTTGGACATTTCTCAAAAGGGATAAGTGAGAAAAGGACTTGTGCATTATATAGTTGGAAATTGTGTGATTGACTGTTCACAAAGTATTGGTTAATCAACAACAATCACCCACTCTTTTTTTTTATTAATGCCAGGTGTCCATAGAGAGGCTGCAATAATCAACTTGGAAATTAACACTCCAGTATTCATTGATAACATTGCGTACTGGAGAGTTTCTCCTCCAAACTAATAGTGTAACAAAGAGGTGCCCTCAAAGAGGTGAAAATCATAAAACATAGAATAATAGAGTTGGACGTGACCTCAGAGGTTTTCTAGTCCAATCTCCTTTATTTCAGACAAATGGCTGTCCAATCTCTTCTTAAAAACATCACAACTTCTGGAGGCAAGACATTCCATTGGTTGATTGTTCTCGCTGTTATGAAATTTCTCCTTAGTTCTAAGTCACTTCTCTCCTTGATTAATTTCCATCCATTGCTTCTTGTCCTGTCTTCAGGTGCTTTGGAGAAAAGGTTGACCCCCTTTTCTTTGTGACAACCCCTCAAATACTGGAGCACTGCTATCATGTCACCCATGGTGTTAATACCACTTTATAATGCCTTGGTAAGGCCACACTTGGAATATTGCATTCAGTTTTGGTCGCCACGATGTAAAAAAGATGTTGAGACTCTAGAAAGAGTGCAGAGAAGAGCAACAAAGTGGATTAGGGGACTGGAGGATAAAACATATGAAGAACGGTTGCAGGAACTGGGTATGTCTAGTATGATGAAGAGAAGGACCAGGGGAGACATGATAGCAGTGTTCCAATATCTCAGGGGTTGCCACAAAGAAGAGGGAGTCAAGCTATTCTCCAAAGCACCTGAGGGTAAAACAAGAAGCAATGGGTGGAAACTAATCAAGGAGAGAAGCAATTTAGAACTAAGGAGAAATTTCCTGACAGTTAGAACAATTAATAAGTGGAACAACTTGCCTGCAGAAGTTGTGAATGCCCCAACACTGGAAATTTTTAAAAAGAGATTGGATAATCATTTGTCTGAAGTGGTGGAAGGTTTCCTGCCTAAGCAGGGGATTGGACTAGAAGACCTCCAAGGTCCCGTCCAACTCTGTTATTCTATTCTATTCTATTCTATTCTATTCTATTCTATTCTATTCTATTCTATTCTATTCTATTCTATTCTATTCTATTCTATTCTATTCTATTCTATTCTATGGTCCTTTTTTTCATTGAACTAGACATACCCAATTCTCGCATCCAGTCTTTATATGTTTTAGCCTCGAGGCCCCTAATAATCTTTGTTGCTCTTTTTTGCATTTGTTCTTCCTTCCCAAATCAAGGCTTTATTTGGCACTTATATAGACCCTTCATGAGTGAAGCTTGCATCAAGTCTGATTTGTCCATGGTGAAATGATACTTCCCTGGAACAAAGAATGAGTCAACCACATTACAGGTTCCATGCAGAAAGTTAAGGACCATGAGCCTAATAATGTCCACTCACTGTCAGCGTTCCAAATTAGCTCTTTTCCAGCGCTGACATGATTGGAATGAATGAAAGAGAAGAAGCGTTGATTTATTGCTGAGATGAACTTTTACCTAGTTTTCTGCATACAGCAGATAGTGTTACCTGGGTGATGGAGGGAGGGGGGCAAATTCCTGTGAAAGAACGTGCTGGGACGAAGAGATGGATCTGCATGATGGCCAATGGGACATTGGGGTTGGAGAGCAGAAGGGGAGGGTGTTGGAAGGAGGGGCCAGTTTGGCTGCAAAAGAGTTCAGAAATGTCGTTCTCTATTCTTAAATAATAATAAAAAAGATTCATTAGAGACTTTGCGTTTGAAAATGAAGTTTATTTAAGATAGCAACGAAACCTGACACTCACCTCTTAAGTCTCTTGAGAGACTTGAAAACCAGTTCTTGTTTTTTTTTAAAAAAAATAAAAATCTGTCACATGAATTTTCCTGTTGTGGTTCAGTTGTATTAGATACGTCTAGTATCATTAAAATGGACATGAAAATCAAAAACAATACTATTTCTCACATGAATATCCAAGAAGCATTGTGATTCAAGTTATCTTTTCTAGTGTTTTTGTTTTTGTTTTAATTGCTCATAATTTTTATTAAACACCGGGACACCTCAAATGTCAAGCCACCCAAGTTTGGAGAATGTTTGCTTTTAAAATAAACCCTCACTTCGCCTTCTACAAAGAAGCTCTTAAAATAAGAGCACCTGACTATGATCCCCATTCTGATTTTATTCAAGAAACCTCAATGCCAGGTGTGCGACTATGGATTTACTCAAAGAAAACATTTCTCATAGTTTATAAGCTCTTCAGAGGTGGACCCAGATTGTTAGGGGCAATAGGCTGACTCTGTAAACTGCTTAGAGAATCCTGTAAAACACTATGAAGCAGTATATAAGTCAGTGGTGAAATGTAAAATTTGTTACTACCGGTTCTGTGGGCGTGGTTTTTTTGGGGGGGTTAATATGACTGAGTGGGCGTGGCCAACTTTTTTTTTTTACTTTTAAAACCATTTTTTTATAACCTCTTCAGCCAAAGAGGTTGTAAAAAAAATGCTTTTAAAAGCCTCTGATGATCCCAGGTGACTTGTCTGATCTATAGAGGCTTTCTTTCTTTTTTTAAAAGCCTTTGACAATCCCAGCTGACTTGCCTGATCGGCAGAGGCTTTTTTTCCTTTTAAAAACATTTTTTTCTATAACCTCTTTGGCCGAAGAGGTTGTAGAAAAAATGCTTTTAAAAGCCTCTGATGATCCCAGCTGACTTGCCTGATCGGCAGAGGCTTTTTTTCCTTTTAAAAACATTTTTTTCTATAACCTCTTCCACTGAAGAGGTTGTAGAAAAAATGCTTTTAAAAGCCTCTGATGATCCCAGCTGAGCCGCACAATCATCAGAGGTTTTTTTTTTTTTTACTTTTAAAAGCATTTTTTCGGCCGAAGAGATTGTAGAAAAAATGCTTTTAAAAATTAAAAAAAAAAAGCCTTTGATGATTGCGCGGCTCAGATGAGCAATGGGGGGGAGGGCAGGGATTTTTGCTACCGGTTCTCCGAACCACCCACCTCCATTGCTACCGGTTCGAGTAACCCGGTCTGAACCGGGAGCATTTCACCCCTGATATAAATCTAAGTGCTATTGCTATTGCTTGGTCAGTCCATGGTCGTGCAGTTGAATATCATCAATGTCCTCATGACACTGACCTCCAATTAAAAAGATCTCACTGAGGCACCTTGAATATTAGGGGATAGCCTAGATCTGTGATGGAAAACCTATGGCACATGTTCCACAAGTGGCACACAGAGCCTTCTCTGTGGGCACACCAGCTGTTGCCCCAGCCCAGCTCTACTGCGAATGCATGCATGCCTCCCGCTGGCCAGCTGGTCTTCGGTCTCTGCCGCCCATGTGGGGGGGGCGGGGTGCAATGGTGGGCTCCTCCCGGTTCGGTCGAGCTAGTAACGGTGACGATATGATGTCACCGAACCGGTTCTGCCCCCCGCCCTTCCCCCACGTTATTCTTACCTTTTATTTGGCCCCACCCCCAATCTATTGCTGCCTCCTGAGTCCCAGCTGATCAGCTAGAAGGAAAAAAAACTGTTTAAACTCTTGCCACGGGGCTTCAAAGGGCCACCCTACAGCTGATCAGTGTTAAAAGGCAGTGTGGTGGTAGACCGGTGCCTCCAAAAACAAATGAGTAGACCGGTGCCTCTAAAAACAAATGAGTAGACCGGTGCCTGCAAAAACAAATAGGTAGACCGGTGCCTCCAAAAAGAAATGAGTAGACCGGTACAGCTCTGCAAGCAGTTAAAAGCCTGGTAGACCAGTACCTCTGCTAAATTCTAAAGAATTGTTCTGTCCCCGCACCCCCACAGACGGCCTGGAGTTAATAAGCGCTCCATGGCATAGGGCCTAGCTATCTTCGAGACCGCCTGCTGCTACCAACGACCTCCCATCGACCCGTGCGCTCCCACAGAGAGGGCCTCCTCGGGGTGCCATCAGCCAGACAATGTAGGCTGGTGACCCCCAGGGGGAGGGCCTTCTCTGTGGGGGCACCTACCCTCTGGAATCAGCTCCCCCCAGAGATAAGGAGAATCTAAGACCTCAGTGCCTTCCGTCGCGCCCTTAAAACCCATTTATTTAAACAAGCCGGGCTGGCTTAAGATGAAATTTTTAACTGTTTTTAAATGTTTTAAACGTTTTTAATTGGTAAATGAGTTTTAATTGGGCCAAATTTATATATCTTTTAATTGTTTTTAATATTTGTTCTGCATGTTTTTTAATCTGGCTGTACACCGCCCTGAGTCCTCAGGGAGAAGGGCGGTATAGAAATCCAATATAAAATAAAATAAAATAAAATAAATAAAATAAATAAGCCACACGACAAAACTCTTTGAAGATAAAGCTGGCAGCAACCCAGTGGCTAGCTGCCAATTCAGACTTTCCTCACACAAAACAAAGATTAGACTGCAAGCATTCCAATAAAACAGGCAGTGTCGACTTCCGGGTTGGCTCCGCAGCACCATTGACGGTCTTTTTAGACCGCCGCCCCCGCGATCCCGTTGAGCCGTTCTGACAGCGTTAATCAGCTGTCAAACGGCTTGAAAATCTCCCCTTCGGGAAAAGAAGGGGAGGAGAGCAGGTGGGTGAGGGTAGAGCTCCCCGGAAACCCCTGATTAACTCCAGGGGTTAGGAGGGTGAGAGCTCCCCGTTCAGCCCACTGAAGCTCCGGATCCGGGGGGACTCTGTTTTTTTTTACAGAGCTAGGTGCTGCGTCCAATTTCTGCTGTCAAACAGAAGATTAAATGATTTCAAAAAAGCAGGCGGAACAGAAGCAGGAGGACAAGCTTTTTGCAAGTATAATACTTAACTCCGGGGATACAATGTTTCTAATTGAACTTGCTGAGCTGGAAGTAAGATGGCGTTTCTTTGTTGCGATTTTAAAAGTGAAAGTTAGAAAGGAAAGTCTTCGCTAAGTGCTCAGAGACTGGCTTTAAGTTGCTGGAATAGATTTTGAAGAGCTGTTTGGGAAAAGACTATTTCGTTTGGTGATTTATAAAGAAATTGCTGAAAGCTGCTTAAAAGGATGGCTTTGACTTTATGATTTTATGGTTGTGGGAAGAAAGGAAATCTTTTTAAAATAAAATGGCTTCTAAGAAAGAAGATCCTGAAAGTGCTGGAAGCTATTCAGAGGTGTCAGAAATGGAACAGTTGTCTGATTTACAGAGCTATAAGGATTTTGATGCAGAATTTACAGAATTTATAAAAGAAGCCATGAATAATCACACTGCAGCTATAAGTAATCAAATAGCAATTCTTAAAGGGATAACAACAGAAATGACCGAGGAGACAAAAACAAGAATGGAGCATGATGACAATTCAGGAGATATTCTGATTGTAGCAGAGAAGGTGGAAGAATCTTTTCAAGAATTTTCGAGTTTATTCTCTGCTCTTTTTGAAAAAATTGATAGAATCTTTCAAAATTATGACTTGGTTTGGAAAAAAGCAGTAAATGACCAGACTTTCGAAGTTTTAGAAGATGAAGGAGATTTGCCAGTGGCATTTATATATTTAATTGAAAAGAAACAACTGAACTTTTTTTCACAAACTCTTGACAAACTTTGGTCCTATAGACGAAGGAATGAACTGATTTATATAAGCAAGAAGAGGCGATTTGGGGGCTCTAAATCAGAGGAAATTTTCTTAAAAGGGGGACAATCTTTGCAGCTACATCAACCTCAGATCAAAATGAAAAGCCTCCTCAAAATAGAAGTAGGAGGGTTGCAGAAAGACTGGAAAAAATATAAAAAGAAAGCAAGAATGGAAGACTAACCTTTTCTTTTGGCTTTGCAGTTGTTCTACTCATGGTTAAAAATGATTATGTTTTAGGTGTTATAACTACTGAGGGGGAAAAAGCATAAAGTTAAATATTGATTTTAAATATGATGCATTAATGGTTGAATGTAAGATTAACCCTTTTTGGTTTTCTAGTTGATGTATCAATGGTTAATTATGTTGATGATTATCTTTCAAAATTCTAAAAGCTGGAGGGAGGAATAATGAAGGGGGAAAATTTAGGAACTTAAAAAATGTAGAAATTTAACTACTGAATATCTAAGGTTTATTTTTGGTTATGAGATTTTAAAATATCTGAACTTTGAGAAAAGTAGGAGGGGAAAAATGTTTTTGCAAATGAATTGAATATTTTACTGATATATTAAGAGAATTTTTAAGGTTTGAATGTTTAATATTTGTTAATGGTTTTAAAATTCTTAGAGTTGTTCTATTCATGGTAAAAAATGATTATGTTTTAGGTGTTATAATTACTGAGGGGTAACTTAAAAAATGAAGAAATTTAACTACTAATATCTAAGGTTTATTCTTTGTTATGAGATTTTAAAATATCTGAACTTTGAGAAAAGTAGGAGGGGAAAAATGTTTTTGTAAATCAATTGAATACTTTACTGATATATTAAGAGAATTTTTAAGGTTTGAATGTTTAATATTTGTTAATGGTTTTAAAACTAGTTATTGGATTATACGCTATTGTGAGTTTATAAAAAGGGAGGTTGACGAAATTGTAAAAGGGGAGTTAAGGGGTCTTGGGAGTTATTAAATCTTGCAGTTAGTTAGTTTATTTTAGCGAATGTTTGGTGAAACCTATGCCCTGTTTTCTGTTCTGGGAAGTCGGGGGTGGGGGGGTGGTGAGGAGGGGTTGAAGATTGAGATTACCAAGGATTGATTTTTTTTTTCTTTTTCTTGATGAAAGTTTGAATGACTGTTTATATTGTATACTTGTCTGATTAGAAAATAAAAACTTTTTTATTAAAAAAAAAAAAAAAAAAACAGGCAGTGTCAATAATACAAGGATTAATCTAAATGCAGTCCGATAAAGCAGGCAAAGTCCAGTAACGCAGAGATCATGGAGTATTTCCAGTTTTTGCTCGTCACAAACTGAACCGGCCACCACACCCACATTTATACCCTGTGGGGTGTGGTCCAGTGACTCAGCTAATCTCTGGCACGCCTTCCCTTCTGCTGTGCACGCTTCTCCCTGCGCCTCTGTCACGGGTCCAGCCAGCACTTATCTTCTTCGTCGCTGTCCACCTGTGGCTGCAGGGACATGCTTGGCTCTGAGCCTATCGTTTGGCCTTCGGTGTCCTCTGGAGGCATTGCCAGAGAGGAGGGTCCTGGAGAGGGAGGCCTTGCCAACTCCTCTCCCTCACTCTCAGAGTCTGCATCTGTCAATAGCCCAGGCTCAGGCAACGGAGCCACAACAAGAATTGTCACATGACCATCAAGCCACGCCCATAAAATAATGCCCACAGAACCGGTAGTAAAATTTTTTAGAACCCACCCCTAGCGGGGCGCATGCACAGTGCGTGCTCACATTGCATTTGGGGGTTTTGCACACATGCACGCACCCCCCACACCCTGTTTTGGGCCTGGAAAGCTGCCTGCACCAACCTAGAACCCAAAATGGGCAAGGGGGGTGGGGCGCATGCCTGGGCAGTGCTCGCATTACATTTGGGGATTTTCTGCATGTGTGCTTTGGGCACTCGACACCAAAAAGTTTAGCCATTACTGGTCTAGACCTTTCCCCTCCAAGCCTGACTGGAACCAGCTTCAGAGAAAGCATAGAACCACATAATACTATTATACTAATACTATACAGAGCTGAAGAAGCTTCTTGGATGAGAAGCGAAACCTCTTCAAAGAAAAACCAGAAAGTCCAGTTGCCTGTTGACAAAAAGCACCTTTGGGACAACCAGGACCTGGATTGCTGAGAATCTCCATAAACACATAATACTATACATCCATTCTTATTACCCCAGGTGGTCCAGAGATTTACTATGGTTGACGGTATCCCTCCCACATCAATGGACAATTGGGAAGATCTACTTCACAAGACAAGCAGAGCAGACATATTTTTCTGATTGCAACTAGTTCTTAGACAACAGTCCTCTGGAGTTTAATTAACAGAAATGATGGAGATTCTCCTGCTGGTTTTAAGATATATTGGAGAGGCTAGTTTCAAATTTTATTCTCTGCCATGTGGGTATAAATAAACAAATTATTCCAAGCATTGGTATGGTTGTTCACAGCTACCAGGGTACAACTGATTGTCATGTGCCACCATGTCCCTGTTGTGGCCCGTATGTGCAGCTAGTAGCTGATTCCGACAGCAAGGAGGCTGGTGTGGTGCTGCGCCAGCAGCCTGTGCAGTTGGCACTCGAGTCGGACAATGAGGAGGCTGGAGAAGATGTGGTGCCAGAGGCGGGGATTCAGCCAGGGCCTTCAGAACCTCCAGAAGCTCCCATAAGTGAAGAGGAAGAAGAGGAGGAGCCTCTTCTCGATGCACGGGTGCGCAGAGCTGCCAAAAGGCAGGAGTGGCTCCTCAGGAGGAGGTCTCCTCGAGAGTAAGGCTTGGGCTAATTGGCCACTCCCTTAGCCTATTTAAGGAGGAACGCCGACTGAAGCAATTTGCAGGGAACAACTCCGTTCACATACCTTCCTGTCTTGTCTTGCTTATGTTATCAGCTTCCTGCAAATTGCTTCTGGGCATTCTGCCAACAACAGTAAGCTTTCAGTTATTATTCTTTGAATTCTTGGCAGCTGTTAATGGAGTTAATTAACAGCCGTAGTTGTAAAAGACTGATTTATTTAGTAAACCAAGGTTTGAATGGACTTTGTGTGTGCTGCGTTCTTTGGGGTCCATAGCTGGGGCAGAACAGTCCCATTAGCACTCATACTTTCTGAACAAAGTATGGCATACCAGGGATCTGCAACCTTAAACACTCAAAGAGCCATTTGGACCTGTTCCCCACAGAAAAGAAAACACTGGGAGCCACAAAACCCTTCCCGTGCCTGACTATTTCTTGAGCAGCCACAAAACTAGCATACGTAGTTGAATTAAACTTTCTCTTTTCTTCTGAAACTTTTCTTTTCTTGGATTTATTCATGGTTGGCCTACCGGGGGTTGAAAAGCTCAATAAATTGTGTGCTGGCGGGTGTCGCACATTGGCAGTTGTGACACGTATTTTGAGTGACAGGGAGCCGCAGCAGAGGGGTGAAAGAGTCACATGCGGCTCCAGAGCCACAGGTTGCTGACCCCAGCATAGGCCAAAATCCATCTTGTATGCTCATCAGAGGTGGTATTCGGCCGGTTCGTACCAGTTCGGGTGAACCGGTAGCAAAGATCGCAGGTGGGCAAAGACCACCACGCGCCCTGACTCTATGATGTCCTATTTAGGCATGTTTTTGAGGCCTGGCACATGTGCAGAAGGTACACGAGTGAGAAAAGCACATGCATGGAAGGTCGGAGGCATGCATGGAAGCCACACGTGCAAAGCGAGTGTGCGCACACAGTGTGAACCGGTGGTAAGAATATTGGAAACCCACCGCTGGGGCTCATGTAGGTCATGTAGGTCAAATATCCAATTTCATCTTGACTCTCAAGTCCATCTGCTCTGTGGATTAGGGACAAGGGACGCTAACCTGTTTTTCTCTTCAGATGTCTGAAGAGAAACTATTGCTAACTAGAGAGAACAATTGCTTTCCTTTGCAATTATCGAAAGAACAGTCATTCTCAATGTATCCTCTATGGATTTCTACCCACAAATATCTCCCAAGATAAAAATCTGCTTTAAACAATATACTCTTGGTTCTCAAGGTGAGGGTGGGACGTGTCACCTTAGCATGTTTTGCAAAGAACTACGGTAATTCCTGGGTTTGGTGATACCCAGCTGGCCTTAATTTTCTCTTTGGTCACAGATCACACACAGGTAAGAAGCACAGTTGATATAAATTTGCCCTGGGGCCATCCCAGTGACACAGTTTCTCTCTATGCTACCTGCAACTCAACTTCTACACAAACCTTGGTTTTCTGTTATAGGAGGAAAAGTGACAAGAATGACTGGGCTGCCCCTCCCGCTGCTGCTGTTTTGGCTCCTGCCCCCCATTACTGCTAAGAGGATGCAAACAGTAAGAGGATGCAAACTGCTGTCCACCCCTTTCCAGATTCAGAAAAGTTATTACAGGCCTGGTCATCTCAATATTGGTGGGAATTTGCCCCTGGCAACGGTGATTATACCCAACACCCCACGCTTTCAAAAATCCCCAACTTTCTTTGATTTTACAATGGTGTAAGTTTCACTTGGATGGGGAAAAAATGTAGATGATAATTGCTTTCTTTTTAGATTCAGGGTCTCCTTTCAGAAATGCTTCTTTTCACGATGTTTGCAATCTTCTAGTGTAGTTCATGGACTCTAGAGGATGGTAGGCTTGGAGGAGTGACCATGGGGTCGCGATGGGTCAGACACAACTTCGCAACTAACAGCAACAAGAAGTGTGGTTCAAATCTGTTCACAATAACGCACCAAACCCTTAAAGTAGATGACAATTCTCAACCTTTCCAGAATTCTACATCAGGAAGATGATAACATAAAGATGTGAAAAGGGACAATACATTCAAAGCTACACTTGAATCTATACCATGATCTAAAAATGATGTTGAGACTCTGGAAAGAGTGTGGAGAAGAGGTACAAAGATGATTAGGGGGGGCTAGAGGTTAAAACATATGAAGAATGGTTACAGGAATTGGGTATGTGTAATGAAATGAAGGACTACGGGAGACATGTTAGCAGTCTTCCAATATTTGAGGGGCTCCTACAAAGACAAGGGAGTGAAACTATTTTCCAAAACACCGAAAGGCAAGAAACAATGGATGGAAACTAACCAAGGAGAGAAGCAACCTAGAACCAAGGAGAAATTTCCTACCAGTGAGGGCAATCAACTGATGGAACAAATTTGCCTTCAAAAGTCCATCACTGGTGGCTTTCAAAAAGAGACTGGACAACTATTTGTCTGCAATGAGTCTCCTGCTCGAGCAGGGGGTTGGACTAGAGGACCTCCAAGGTCCCTTCCGACTCTACTATTCTATGTTCTAACAGTGCTGGCCTAGTGAAGAAACATCACATCATTATAACATCAATTTGGACAGAAAGTCATGATGGCAAAGCGAAAGAAAAGCTTAATCTTTTTCCAGAGCTGGATACTGTAAATAAGCTAGAGTAACTAAAATAAACAAAACCTGCTTTTGCAATCAGCAGTGCTCATGAACCTTCAGTAAATCTATGCTGTCACACACACAGAGGGGGGGGGAGAGAGAGAGAGAGAGAGAGAGAGAGAGAGAGAGAGAGAGAGAGAGAGAGAGAGAGAGAGAGAGAGAGAGAGAGAGAGAGATCTTGTGCTCAGAAATGGTTGCCACTGTTGAGGGTAAAACTGCCCTCTGCAAAGTAGTACAATGGACCAGACAGCAAATAGATACGTTGCTTAGCAAAACACACAGATATTCACAGACTCTGAACGTTTAAAGAAAAATAAACAGTCTTTACTTGTAGTAAAAAACAAACTTGGCTTCTCAAAACAAAGATAACACTTCTTCAAACAATCACGGTTCAACACAAAACATAGTTTGTTTACAATTCCAGTTCTCTTCAGTAACACAGATAAAGTTCCTTTCAGCAGTTCAACCTTCTAATAGCAGGAGCAGAAGTGAATGAACTTCCTGCCTTCTTTTATGTCTGCTTAGCACAGCCAATTAGTCATCTTTGTAGCAGTTAAAGTTACAGAACATAGTTTTCTATATATTATCTACCCAACCGTAGGATAAGCATCCAACAGCCATCCCTGAAGAAGCTGCTCCAAGAGAGAACCAAAATTGTTTAGAGTGCTTGAGGAACAACTAGGAAGGTTTACAGGCACTGGAGGAAAGTGAAGCAGGGAGGTATGATAAAGAGGCAGAAAACAGTCCGTGATATGGACAAACAGGCTTTTCTCTTTCATCACAAAGTCATCCAAGGTTAATAAAGAACATCCTTTAAAAAAGAAAAACAAAACAAAACCCATTGGAACATAAGATGTGCTGCCCCAAAAAAGACCCAAAAAGGCAAGACAACTTTCATCAGCATCATATAATATTCCCCAATGTTTGTCTCACTCTAGATTTGTACCCAAGAACTATCAGCAGTTCCTGGCCTTAGTCTTTGCAGTCACAGAGATCAACAAGGATTTGGTTCTGTTGCCCAACATCACACTTGGCTTCAACATCTATAGCAATGTCCAGATTGAGCTATCCATTTTCTCAAACAGCTTCTCCCTGCTCTCCACTCGAAGCAAAATGATTCCAGGTTACAAATGTGACAAGCAGGACCCTCTGGTCTCCGTCATTGGAGGTCTCAACTCCAAATCCTCAAGACAGATGGCCTCCATCTTCAGCATCTTCAAGGTCCTACAGGTAAGGGGGCTCCACTGGATGCTTTATATAGTAGACAAAGAAGAAGCCAAAGATAAAACCAAAAGTGTTTTGAGGGGCACATCAAGAGTATTTGTCTTAAAGAACTCAAGCATAGTTCAATTCATTATTATATTTTATCTGTCAAGAGGTGCTCTTATTTAATTCCAACAAGATAAACAATGAGATAATTCTGAAATGCTGTACTTGCCAAGAGGAATTCCTTCTCAACTCATTCTTCATAAATAAGTTTTAGTGAGGTTTATTCTCTGTATCAAGTTGATGGTCTCTTCCCTTGTCTTCTGACATATCACAACCAGGCAGAATGTCTTATCTGGTGGCTCTTCCTAAGAAGAGAAGAATCTTGAGCTTGCCACTCCAAGTGAGCCACCCTGACTGGTGTGGCAATCAGCTACACAATGGTGACCCTTGAATTAACCATTAAACTGTACTTTGTCTCTTAAAGAGGATTCTCACTTTCTCCAGCTCGGTGTTGGCTTTGAGTTCAATCAGGGAGACAGAAGAGATTATCCTTCTTTCTTCCGAATTAATCCCAAGGAATTTCCTCAATATGTGGGTTTAGTCCAGCTTCTTGTGTATTTCCAGTGGAACTGGGTTGGGCTGGTGGCCCCTGAAAATGACAATGGAGAACATTTCGTCTCATCTCTAATTCCAATGCTCAAGGAGAAGGAGATCTGTCTGGCCTTCACTGAAATGATGAAATCTGATTTTCTTGATACTCCACTGTTGATATCCAACCCTATTTTCAAAACTTGGTCCATGTCTGAAGTGATTGTTCTATTTGGAGATTCCAGCAGTATTGCAAATGTGCAGATCTTTGCGCTTGCTCATGAGCAATTTTTCAAGACATCATTTCGGAAAGTTTGGATCCTAACTTCCCATTGGAAAGTTAGAGTGATGGGATCTCAAGATGTAATGAAGGTTTTAAAGCCCTTCCATGGAGCTTTGCATTTTAGGGACCACACTGGGGATCTCTCAAAATTCAGAGATTTCCTCATGCTTTTAGACCCCTTCAATGCTCAAGGGAACGTCTTTCTTCTGCTGTGGTGGAAAATGATCTTTGACTGCAATTTCCACAAACCAGGCAAAGTCCCTACAAAGGGGAAAAAACGATGTACAGGAAAGGAGAATTTACAAAATGTACCATCTTACATTTTTGAAATGAGCATGACTGGTGAAAGTTACAATATCTACAATGCTATTTATTCTGTAGCACATGCATTACGTGCCATGTACAAATCAAGTCCACGACCCGCCATGATGAGAGTTGGAAAAAGGATTTCAAATTTCCAATTATGGCAGGTAATTTCTGGGAATTTTTATCCAATCCACAAATGCTCAGCTTCCCATATCTATTTCTTGAATTACTTTTTAAATATCTGTATGCTACCGTATCAATCAATCTCAGAATAGATTAAAACAGCAGTGATTAAAAACAATTGTTGTTGTTGTTAGTTGCAAAGTCGTGTCCAACCCATTGTGACCCCATGGACAATATTCCTCCAGGCCTTCCTGTCCTCTACCATCCTCTGGAGTCCATTTAAGATCATGCCGACTGCTTCAGTGACTCCATCCAGCCACCTTGTTCTCTGCCGTCTCCTTCTTCTTTTGCCCTCAATCTTCCCCAGCATTAGGCTCTTCTCCAGGGAGTCCTTCCTTCTCATTAGGTGGCCAAAGATGTTGAGTTTCCTCTTCAGGATCTGGCCTTCAAAGAGCAGTCAGGGTTGATCTCCTCTAGGACTGACCAGTTTGATCGCCTTGCAGTCCAAGGGACTCGCAGGAGTCTTCTCCAGCACCAGAGTTCAAAGGCCTCAATTCTTTGGTACTCAGCCTCTCTTATGGTCCAACTTTCACAGCAGTGCATTGCAATTGGGAAAACCATAGAAAACAATAGTATGAATTAAGTATACTATTGTGTTGAAAAGTGATAGAGGAAAGGAAAGAGAAGTAAATCAAACTACTTGTCCGTAAGATCCATATTTATTTATTTATCTATTTATCTATTTATTTATTTACTTAATTAATTAATTTATATACCGCCCTTCTCCCAAAGGGACTCGGGGCGGTGTACAGCCAACATAAAACGCACAAATATAAAATTTAAAAACAATTAAAAAATATTAAATAGTTTGGCTCATATCTAATTAAAATAAAACGACCCAATTTAGACATTTAAAATTAAAAATTGACGATTAAAAAATTTAAAAATTAGGCCAGCCCGGCTTGTTGAAATAAAAGTGTCTTGAGGGCCCGGCGGAAGGTGCGTAAGTCGGGAATCCTCCGCATCTCAGGGGGCAATTTGTTCCAGAGGGCAGGAGCCCCCACAGAGAAGGCTCTCCCCCTGGGGGTCGTCGGCCAACATTGCTTGGCCGACGGCATCCAGAGGATCCTCTCTCTGTGGGAGCGAATTGGCCAGTGGGAGGCTATTGGTAGCAGCAGGCGGTCTTGTAAATACCCAGGTCCTAAGCCATGGAGCACTCTGAAGGTGGTAACCAATACCTTGAATCGCACCTGGAGGACCACCGGGAGCCAGTGCAGCTCACGCAGGAGAGGTGTTACATGGGAGTGCCATGACGCTCCCATAACCACCTGCGCGGCCGCATTCTGGACCAGTTGGAGCCTTCGGGTGCTCCTCAAGGGGAGCCCCATGTAGAGAGCATTACAATAGTCCAGGCGGGAAGTGACGAGGGCATGAGTGACCGTGCGTAGGGAGTCCCAATCCAGAAAGGGATGCAACTGGTAGATCAGGCAAACCTGATAAAAAGCCCCCCTGGCCACAGCCGTCACATGTTCTTCTAAGGACAGCCGTGCCTCCAGGAGGACACCTAAGTTGTGAGCCCTCTCCGTGGGGGCCAACGACTCACCCCCAAGAGTCAGAGATGGCACCAACTGACTATATCGGGACGCCGGAAGCCACAGCCACTCAGTCTTGGACAGGTTGAGCTTGAGCCATAGAGGAAAGAACTTCCTACAAGGTCCTGAAAGGTCTTCAACAATTACACAAGCTTCAAGAGATGACCATTTCAGGAAGGAGGTTCAACCAGAGCAAGTTGGCAATCTGGGTGTGTCTGTAAATGGTGTTTAAAGAGGTTAGTTGAACTCCAAGTCAAAATTCATGCAGAACCACCTCAGTTTCCCTCAGTAGATACCCTGAATCCTATCTCTAAAGAGACACTCAATTCATTTTATCCTTGGTTTATCCGATGGCTTAGCGTCCAAAAAGACCCCACCCCGTTGGTTTAGTTTGTCATTTATTGTACAGTTCAGCTTGTTGTGTGAAAACAGGATCTGTAAGCTTCAGAACACACAGCACAAGTGCAATTGGTGCTGATCTGAACTTCCATCAGACTTTCAGCATCAATGGCTGAATGTTGGACTTTCCTGGGTAGTGAAGTGACAAACCAGAACAGTTTCTTCTTTCCATATAGACACTTTGGTTCAGACCTGGTTCCTCTATCCTGCTCTCCTTGAACATCAGCTAGAGAAAGTCAGTGGAATTGCACACTATTGTGATAGAAATAATTTAGTGGTTTCTAAAACGGATTTCTAAATTACAAGACCTTGGCCAAAGAAATCATTTAAAACTGTATGTGTTGTGGCCTGCCAGTGGCCTGCAGAGCTGGCCACAGAGTCAGACAGTGAGGAGGTTGGGGAGGAACATGGGCCAGCCCTGGGGGCTGGGGAAAGCTCAGACGAAGGGTCTCCATCGGAGGCAGAGAGGGAGCTAGACAGCAGTGAGGCAGAGGAACAGCTGGAGCCTGTTCCCATTGTGTGCATGCACAGAGCTGCCAGAAGGCAAGAACAATTAAGAAAGCAGGGTCGGCTTGGGGGAAAAGCCACACCTTGGAGGTGATTGGCCCCTCCCACAGGAAACAAAAGAGGAGCGAACGGGGAGTGGGCTTTTGCAGGAAACAATTTGTTCATTCGGTTGTTTCAAGAGTGGAAAGTTCTGTTTGTGACTCTAAGAGACTCTGTGCCAAGTTTTGCCTTGCCCTGCATTTGGAACCTAATTATCTGGCAGCTTTCCAAGCGAGATAAGGTTTGTGTTGATAAATATTCCTCTGAAAGACTGTTTGCCTGGCCTTGCTGACTGTGAATGAAAGGAATTCACAGTTGTGTAAATAAAAGCGGTTTTGCCAGGACTAAGACTCTGCTTCATGCTTTTTAAGGAAGTCTAGGTCAGAACATTATGCAGTCAAGTATCACAGGATTAAAACCATACTATTAATTCTGGAACAGGCATAAAAAACTAGGTATCAGTCTGGTAAAATTGAAGTTGAACTAACCATGATATAAATGCCCCAAAATAAAAAAGAACCTTTTGTAATGTTGGGAAAAGTGCCAGATATCATTTGCTACACCTGATTGCTCAGATCTCCACCAAGGGAACTCCTCTGGCTTCTCAGATGTACATCAATCTCCTAGGATGATGGCCATCACAGAATGATAGAAGCCATGATGTCTCATTCGTGATTTTTGCCTCATTACTCCAGTTTCTGAATGTTTCTTTTCTTTCAGCTTCTTGGCTACTTAAAGAATGTCCACTTCAACAATAGTGCTGGAGAAGAAGTCTCCTTCTCAGAAAATGGACTGGGATCAGCTCAATATGATCTTCTCAATTGGGTTCTATGCCCCAATCGGTCTTTTGTCCCTGTGAAAGTTGGTCGAATAGATCCCAGGGCTCCCTCAGGCCAGGATTTCACCATTAACTCCAACGCAATCATCTGGGCCTCAAAGGTGAGTTGAAAGGCAGCGATGTAAATTCAGGGGAAAATGCATTCTCTCCTAGGATACAGAATTTCCTTCTAACTGGAAAATAGGACTATTGAAGCAGAAAATACAGCAGTCATTTGATGAAAAACCTGCCTTGCACGTAACACATTTGAGGACAACATCTGGAGATCCAAGAAAGCTCAGTATTGGGGAAAAACCTCTGAAACTCTGTTGGAATTAGTTGAGATGACAGTGATTTCTATGGATCATTTTTTATTCAGTCGGATCTGCATGATTCTTTGTTTTAGAAAAACTGTAGCTCACTGTCACAAGTTTTCCTTTGCATGCCAAAGTCCCACTTCCAATCCACAAAATTCATTGGTGGGTTGAGAATGGACTGTCTGTTGGGGTGTCCCCAGGCCACCCCAACGATGCCCTTGAAGTGATGTCCCAGTGCCTGGAGGCCGTGCAGGCCTGGATGGGGAGAAACAGGCTCTGACTCAACCGTTCCAAGACCGAGTGGCTGTGGCTTCCGGCGTTCCGATATAGCCAGCTGGTGCCATCGCTGGTTATTGGGGGGGGCGAATCACTGGCCCCCACGGAGAGGGCGTGTAACTCGGGCATCCTCCTGGATGCACGGCTGTCTTTAGAAGAGCATATGATGGCCGTGGCCAGGGGGGCTTTTTATCAGGTCCGCCTGATATGCCAGTTGCGTCCCTTTCTGGATCGGGACTCCCTACGCACGGTCACTCAGGCACTCATCACTTCCCGCCTGGACTACTGTAACACTCTCTACATGGGGCTCCCCTTGGGGTGCACCTGGAGGCTCCAGCTGGTCCAGAATGCGGCCACGTGGGGGATTATGGGAGCGACGGGGTGCTCCCATGTGACACCTCTCCTGCGCGAGCTGCACTGGCTCCTGGTGGTCTTCCGGGTGTGCTTCAAGGTGTTGGTCTCCACCTTTAAAGTACTCCATGGCTTAGGGCTGGGGTATCTATGAGACCGCCTTCTGCCGCCAATAGCCTCCCACCGGCCTGTACGCTCACACAGAGAGGGCCTCCTCAGGGTGCCGTCCGCTAGACTATGTTGGCTGGCGACCCCCAGGGGGAGGGCCTTCTCTGTGGTGGCACCCGCCCTCTGGAATGACCTACCCCCAGAGATACGCACGATACCAGACCTCCGGACTTTTCGTCGGGCCCTGAAAACTCATTTATTTCACCTAGCCGGGCTGGCTTGATCCCATCTGTTCAGTTTTAATTTGAAATTGGTTTTAACTGGGTTGTTTTAAATTGTGGGCCGAAATTATTTAATTACCTTTTAAACTGTTTTTTAAATTATGTATGCTCTGTTTTATCTCGGCTGTTCACTGCCCTGAGTCCTGCTGGAGAAGGGCGGTATAAAAATCAAATAAAATAAATAAAAAATAAATAAATCTTCTGTGAGCTTTTCATGATTTCATGATAGAGCTGAGGTGGCACAGTGGTTAGAGTGCAGTACTACAGACTACTTCAGCTGACTGCTAGCTGCAGTTCAGCAGATCAAATCTCACCAGCTCAAGGTTGACTCAGCCTTCCATCCTTCCGAGGTGGGTAAAATGAGGACCCAGATTGTTGGGGGGGCAATATGCTGACTCTGTAAACCACTTAGAGAGGACTGTAAAGCACTATGAAGTGGTATATAAGTCTAAGAGCTATTCCTATTTCTGATAGACCATGGTGAATCATTTCATTGGAAGTCATTCTGGAGATGGAAACAGGAATATGGAAAGGAATAAATGAAGCATTCCAAAGGTGCTTTTTAAAGAGGCAACTGGACTTTCTTATCCTTCTTTGAAGACATTTTGCTTCTCATCCAAGAAGCTTCTTCAGCTGGATTTGCTGAAGAATCTCCTTGGATGAGAAGCAAAACATCCACTTGTCTTTTGAAAGGCATCTTTGGGACAACTATGACCTGGATGACTAAGAATCCCCATAAACATAAATGAAGCATGTTCATTGCTTATGCCATATCATGTATTTCTCTTTTCACTTTTAGAAGGTGCCCTTTGCCAGGTGTGGCATGAAGAGGTGCCAAGCAGGAGAGAGGAGACATGTCCCAGAGGGCAAGCAAGTTTGCTGCTACCAATGTGATCCTTGCCCAGAAGGGACCATTTCTAACCAGACAGGTAGAGCACATTTCAAATGTAGATTTTCCAGGATCGAGTAAGCCACTTAGTGGATCAAAAAGTTCATTTTTGGTCACTTTGGGCAGAATTGACATGCCTCAAAATATTTATACTTTTCAGCAGATGTTTTCAATTAATGAATCTAAGACAGGGGTGTCAAACTCGATTTCATTGAGGGCCGCATTAGGGTTGTGTTTGACCTCAGGGGGCTGGAGTGGGGTTAGGGGAGGGTGGGCATGGCCAACTTGATGTCACTCGTGTCGGGGACGCCTGTGGTGGAACTCGGTGTTCTGCCAGTGAAAATGGGGCCCTGAGCTCTGTTTCCAGCTGTGATGGCCTCTTGTAACCCTCTGTCAGCACAAAAAGAGCTTGGGGGGGGGACTGTGTTGTGACCCAGGCCCAAGTATTTAGTATTAAATACAAACAGTTTGAAAACAAATAGACTTTACTAGAACAGCTGAGAATTAACTCATTCTCAGCCTAGTTCAAACTAAATTAAAGCAAATTCTTCAAAACACCATTTCTCAGTTTATCACCGACCTTGGGATAATTAAGCAAACTGCCAAAGGCTTTTCTTGGCAAAAGTTCAGAAGCAGAAAATGCCGACAAGAAATGAATACAGTGAAACAAGAACCAATCCTCTCAATGTTGTTTTCCTTATGGGAGGGGCCAATCATCTCTTGGCCCTACTCCTGAGTCGTCCTCTCTGCTTTATCTGCTCCTGCCTTCTGGCAGCTCTTCTCATACGTGCACTAGGAACAAGCTCCTCCTGTTCCTCTGCCTCTCTACTGTCAGCCTCTGGAGGCTCCGGAGTCTGCACATCACTTCCCGATGGCCCTGGCCCCATCTCTGCCTCTGACGCAGAGCCTTCATCTGAGCCGTCTCCAGACTCCAAGACTGGCCCATGTTCTTCCTCAGCCTCATCACTGTCCAACTCCGCTGCCAGCTCCGCAGGCTGCTGGTGGACCACAACAGGCTGCCCGCATCCCTCCCGAGCTGCATTTTTGGTCGCAGAGGCACTGCGGGCCAGTCCTTCGCTGTTTCCAGGACAGCCCCATGGGCCAAATCTAAGCACCCACCAGGCCGCATCCGGCCTTGAATTTGACACCCCTGATCTAAGCTATCCAATTTCCACAGGCAATTTTTCACACTCATCAAGGTTTAAAGGCACACTCCATCTCACACATCCCATGGTGTGGTTCAAGCTTTATTTATTATTATTATTATTTAGAGTGTGCTTCTTCTGTCAGCACTATCAGTCTCCCAGGAAATTGATAGACCTCTAGGAGAACGTGGAAATCTGTTTATCCATATCTGCTAGCTCTTCCCTTCAAAAGAGCCTGAATGAGTAAATTTGAAATACAAATTTGAGCCAAAGAACTCTTGGTGCTATTTCGGCTCTGGTTCTTCCTTTCTGTTCATCTTCCTGTATCAAGAAAAGGGACCTTTCCCTCTCTGAACAGTCAGTGTACAATTGTATGTCCTTCTCTCTCGTTTTGTAATCCCCTCAGCACAAACAAACAGATAATGTACATACAGACTATATAGCAGGATTCCTGACGGATAGATTTATCAGTCTTTTCTAGGTTCTAGTATAAAGCGAGGGGGAAAAAAACCATTAGTAATTCATCTTGCATTGAAAGCCACAGTAGTTGTGGAAATTCCCCATGGTGAACCTTTATTCCACTTGTTTCTGGCTAATTTATCCACAGGTTCATCAATAACGAAGGAGGATTTGTGATGCCCATAAAGTGCTCAATTCAGTTCAGAATAGAGCTGGAAGGGACCTTGGAGGTTTTCTAGTCCAACCCCCTGCTCAAAAGCAGGAAGCCCTACACCATTTGAGACAAATGGTTGTCCAATCTCTTCATAAAAATCTCCAGTGATGAAGCACTCACAACTTCTGAAGGCAAGCTATTCTAACAGGTTAATTAACCTGTGATATTCCACAGATCAATTGATATGATTGAATTCTCCTTAATTCCAGGTTGCTTCTCTCCTTAATTAGTTTCCATCCATTTTTCTTGTCTTAGCTTCTAGTGCTTTGGAAACTAAGTTGACCCTTTCTTCTTTGTGGCAGCCCCTTAAATACTGGAATACTGCTATCATATCACTCCTAGTCCTTCTTTTCTCTAGACTAGGCAAGACCAAATCCTGCAACCATTCTTCATATGTTTTGCTCTCCAGGCCTTTAATCATCTTAGTTGCCCTTCTTGCAACTTGTCGAAACTCTCCATATCTTTTTTGTAATGTAGTGAGCAAAACTGGATGCAGTATTCTTGGGGTGGGTTTTCTAAAGCTTTATAAAGCAGTACTAACACTTCACATGATTTTGATTCAATGCCTCTGTTTATACAACCAAGGATTACATTAGTGGTATTAGTATTAGTAGTATTCCATTAGTACTGAATGGGACACTCATATTTCCCTTGAAGGAGGGACAGTATTCATGGCAGATGCTCCTGAAATCCTTAGACAAAAGACTAAAAACTTTCATTTTATCATTCTACCTTGATTTCAGATGCAAGCCACTGTGACCACTGCCCAGAAGACCAATATCCTAATAAGGACAAGGACCACTGCATTGCCAAGAAGATCCACTTCCTTTCCTATGAAGACACCCTGGGATACACCTTAGCTTTTCTTGCTCTTTTTCTTTCTGTGATTACATCTGTGGTCCTGATAATTTTTTTAAAGTATTGTGACACACCAATTGTCAAGGCCAACAACCGAGATCTCACCTACATCCTCCTGGTCTCCCTCCTGCTCTGTTTCCTCTGTTCCTTCCTCTTCATTGGTCAACCTGGGAAGCTCACCTGTCTCTTCCGACAAACTGCCTTTGCCATTCTCTTTTCTCTTGCAGTTTCCTCTGTCTTGGCAAAAACTGTCATGGTGGTTCTGGCCTTCATGGCTACCAAACCAGGAAACAAGGCAAGGAAATTCTTAGGAAAACCACTGACCAATTGCATTGTTGTATCCTGTCCTCTTGTCCAAGCGGTTCTTTGTGCCATCTGGCTGGGAACCTCTCCCCCATTTCCCAACATGGATTTCCATTCTTTGGTAAAAGAGACTATTTTGGCATGCAAGGAAGGCTCAGCTTCGATGTTTTATACTGTCCTTGCCTACTTGGGTTTCCTGGCCTTAGTCAGTTTTACAGTGGCTTTTTTGGCTAGGAAATTGCCCGACAGCTTTAATGAAGCCAAGTTCATTACTTTTAGCATGCTGGTCTTTTGCAGTGTTTGGATCACCTTCCTCCCCACCTACCTGAGCACCAAAGGGAAGTCCATGGTGGCCGTGGAGATCTTCTCCATCTTGGCCTCTGGGTCTGGTCTCTTGGTTTGTATCTTTTTCCCCAAATGCTATATTATCCTATTGAGGCCCAATCTGAATTGTAGAGAGAATATAATGAGGCACAAGAACCTCTGACTATGCAAAGATTGGGAACTTTTGCTATGAGTTTAGGACATTTTTGTATTTGATGTGATTTCTTAAAAGTAGAGAAATGAGCAAGGGCTTTTTATTTTTAATATTTGGAAATCAAATGATGTGACTAATCACAAAATATCTATTAATCAGCAATAATCACCCACTCTTCCATTTTTCATTAATGACTGTTGTTCCTAGTGAGCCCCCATAATCAGCCTAAAAATAAACTTTGATATCAAAGATGTGGATAATAATTTCCAGCGGAAGATTTTCCCAGTTTATTTATTTTAATCAAAAGAGTCTTAATAAGGTTTTGGGTTGAGTTCACTATCAGTGTTTTTAACTATGTTTGAAGAGTTGTATCATCAGCATATCAAAAATTATTAATGTTCCTTCTTTCAGTCTTTACTCTGATTTTTGATTCTTCAAGTTACAGTTTCCTCATGATCACTTTCATACAGATTGATAATACATAATCCCTTCAACATAAAATAAGAAAATATAAAGAATACAATCTTGCCACATTCCTTTCTCTATCTTGAATGAATCAGTGTGGTATTTGCACAATGGCTTCCTGGTTTGTGTAGAGAACTGCACCAAATGTGTTGGAACCTCCAGACCTTCTAGGACTCTCCACAGCTTCTCAAAATCATTACATTACAAATTACCACATTGAAAAAAAAAAAAAAAAAAAGATGTTGAGATTTGGAAAAAGGGCAGAGAAGATCAACTAAGATGATTAAAGGCCTGGAGACTAAAACATATGAAGAATGGTTGCAAGAACAGGGTTTCACTAGTTTAGAGAAAAGAAGGACTAGGGGCATGGGTGAAATCCAGTAGGGTCTGACAGGTTCTGGAGAACTGGTAGTGGAAATTTTTAGTAGTTTGAGAACCAGCAAATACCACCTCTGGCTGGTCCCAGAGTGGGGTGGGAATGGAGATTTTGCAATATCCTTTCCCCAGGAGTGATGAGGGAATGGAGATTTTGCAGTATCCTTCCCCTGGAGTGGGGTGGGAATGGAGATTTTGTAGTATCCTTCCCCTGCCATGCCCACCAAGCTACGCCCACTAAGCCACGCCCACAGAACCAGTAGTAAAAAAATTGAATTTCACCACTGACAAGGGATGACATAATATCGGTGTTTCAGTATTTGAGGGGGCTGACACAAAGAAGAGGGAGTCATCTTATTTTCCAAAGCACCAGAAGGCAAAATAAGAAACCATGGATGGAAGCTGAACAAGGAAAGAAACAACTTGTCTCCAATCCTGGGTAGCCCAATAAGATACCCTGCTTGTTTGATGGTAAGAACTCCTCATGGCTGAATAGGAGGAGGATGTAAAACTGGGCATTATAGTCTTTTAAGGTGATATTTGGTCTGGTAGGGTGATGTTTGGGTATTACAATTGTCACTCAAGAAAAGTTAACCCCTCCTGGCTCAAAGGGTGGGGACTGAAGAATGGTGTAGATCAGAATGGTGCTCTGGATTCGGTCCTTAGAAAATCATCCATCGATCAAAGTGATTGGTTTTGAAATACTTAACTAATTTAAAATATTGGTGACCTTCTCAAATAAGCGAGAGTTTGGGCAGAATTTATTTATTTATTTATTTTATTTTATTTATTGCGATTTATATGCCGCCTTTCTCCCTAGGGACTCAAGGCAGCTTACAAAATGACAACTTCAATACAAATCACAATACAATACCAAATTAAAATCAGTAACCCAATTAAAAAACGATTTAAAATTATACCAGTGTACCCCCAAACGGATCAGTTTAATTGGCGGAAGAGCCACGTCTTCAGCTCACGACGGAAGGAAAGAAGGTCGGGGGCTGTCCTGAGCTCAGTGGGCAATCCATTCCAGAGGGTCGGGGCTCCCACAGAGAACGCCCTCCCCCTGGGGGTTGTCAGCCGACATTGTTTGGCCGACGGCACCCTGAGGAGGCCGACTCTGTGAGAGCGCACAGGATGGTGGGAGAACGGCTGGAGATGGTCCTGCAAGTACCCCGGGCCTAAGCCATGAATACAGCTAAGCCACAAAGAAAAGAAGAAAGTATGTGATTATTAAAAGCCATCTAGGTCCATGATGGCAAACCTATGGCACGCGTGGCACGCAAAACCCTCACTGTAGGTGCACATACCATCACCAGCTGCTCTTCTGGTTTTGGTGCACACATACTCTGGCGCACACGAAGACCAGCTGGCCGGCACGCAGGAAACCAGAAGTCCAGGTGGCTGGTGCATGCATGTGCACTGACCAGCTGATCTTTGAGTTTCTGGGGCTCCAGCATGCGCAGATGTGCATGCACACGCGCCTTCCAATTTAAGCACTCAGTGCCGAAAAGGTTCACCATCACTGATCTAGGTACATCATAGCTGAAACCCATCTTCTTTGGCCGGTTTGGGAAACATCGCTAGGACAAAGGCCATGGTGAGTTGTTCCAGTTCTTGGTATGAAAAAGGTGTCAGGGTTGTTAAGGATATTGTTGTTGTGTTACCAACCAGCAGAGTAAATGCACAAGGAAACGTTGCTGAGAGCGATGAATAAGAGTTATGCAAACTGGTTTATCAAAAGCTTACTTTATAGTAGAAAAACAGTCTCATAGTCTTTAAACAAATTCCAAGTCTTTGCCAGTTAAATCAGTCCAGTAGTTACAGATATCTTCTTACCAAACAAACATTAGTTGGTTAGCATAACAAACTCACTCTGGTTCACAAACCATGATGGTAGCAGATCCATCAAATGATGATTAGCAGATAACAACTCCTCTCAATGGTAGCTTATCATATCAGCTCCATACACAATGTCAGCATATCATAGCAGCTTCATCATCAAACTGAATACGTTACAGTACCTTGCTTAAATACTCTCACAACCAGTCATTACCTGATTACAGCATGACTCAGCATTACAATGAATACCTTTAAAGTAACATAATACATTTACAGATTAAAGTTACAGTACACATATATTGCCTGGACAACTAGTTAGGCTCAAATCATATCCTAACAAGGGTTCCAAGTAATACATCCATAGCAAAGAGAACTCCGAGGCAAGCAGGTTCCTCAAAGAACAGGTTTATTGGGCATATCATATTGGCACAAACTGGTGAAAACCAACTCTGAAGATTCCCACCAGGGGTGAAATCCAGCAGGTTCTGGCAGATTCTAGAGAACTGGTAGTGGAAATTTTGAGTAGTTCGGAGAACCGGCAAATACCACCTCTGGCTGGCCCCAGAGTAGGGTGGGAATGGAGATTTTGCAGTATTCTTCCCCTGCCATGCCCACCAAGCCACACCACACCCACCAAGCCACGCCCACAGAACTGGTAGTAAAAATATTTGGATTTCACTACTGATTCCCACAGTTTTCACCTAATTAAAAGTAAAAGCCCCCCCCCTTTTCCCAAACAATCAGTCACATGGTCCAATCAAGTTGCTGTCCGGTTGCTTGGAAACTTCACTCCTCCTCTCTTCAGCCACCTGTGGGAATGTCCTTGGTTCTCAGGGGAAACTATTTTGTTTTGGCTATAAAACCCCAGCTATCTCTATTCCCCCCCTCCCTATCCCTTTCCCCATTGTGGCAACACTGAAGCCTCCAAAATGGCCTCAGTCAGGCTAGCTTCAGGGTTGACAAAGAATTTGGTAGTCGTAGCAAAAGCAATCAATCCCAAAGAGATTTAAAAGAGTTTGCTCCAATGAGATCCTACGTTAAGGGGATCGAACTGGGTGATCCCCAAGTTCTTTCAACTCTAAAGCTGCATTACTCTCCAGTTACAGTTGCCCAGTTCACAGTCAGAGGCACACAATTGTGGCTGCAGAAATAGTTTTTTCTTTTCCTCTTGTCAAAATACCATGAACTCCAAAGTTATGGGGATAATGTGGACATTTCTTTCTCCCGGGATTCATAAAACACTAGTAATTCTTACTTCATCTCAGTGGATTTTCAGAGATTAATCCTCTCTAAGCATAAAGAGATCTGTGTCTGGTTATAACATGTTTGCCTAACATGCTCCGAATAAGTCCCTTGAGAGTTGCAGCTTACATGGATGCTTATCCTGAAGACTTAAAGCTTCACTTGAGTCCTCTGAAGTCACCAGAGCATCACTTTTCCCTGCAACTTTCTCTGTTGGCTTGATCTAGAAGAAGAAGTTCTCTTTCTGTGGCCAATGATTTGGCTTTTAGTGTTGCTATGGTCCCTGCCTGCAGCTGTCCAGATGAACCAGAGACCAAACTGCTTCTGGAGGAGACCTTTCCAAGAACAAAAAGACTATTATAGACCTGGAGATCTCATTATTGGTGGAAACCTACCTCTCTCCATTACTATAGTTCTACCGCTCCCATACGAGCCTCCTGGTGATTGGGATGTCCTTTCTCTGTAAGTGTTCTCTTGATTGTCTTTTTTCTCAGGGCAATGTGGAAAGGGTAGTCTTCAAGATTTAAATCCCACCCAGCCTCAGTTGACGTTCCTTCCGAATTAGACCCATTGATTCTGTTTGATGAATCAATCTCCCTCTAATTCCCTTCTCAAGCCCTCTGACTCTTCAGCGGTGAAGGAAAGCTTATCACTTGAATAGGGAGTCAGCCTTTTCACCATGTTCCTGAAGTCAACGTACAGTAGTGGCCATAAATTGTGGAAACCTTTTGGGAAAAGTGTATTTTCTAAAACTAGCTAATAACAGCACTTTTCTTTTTGGAGTAGTACCATAAAATTATATATCAATGGAAAGATAATTTAATCAAGAATGCAATGCACTAACTTTTAGGAAGGATTTGTTATTAGAATAGCACTTACAGTATAAAGAAGAAAAGGGAAACACATGGAAAAAACGAGATATACAAAAATTATCACCGTAGAAAAAATGAGAAATGCAAAAATTATCCCCATGTCATACTTAATACTTAGTTGGGTAACCTTTAGCATGAATTACAACATCTTCCCGTGGAGTGAACCAAGTCTTTTAGTTCTGCAGCTGTTCTAATGTGAAACCAAGATTGAAGGATTGCTTCTATTAAACCGGGTTTTATTTCTGGGTCGCTTCTGATTAACAAGTTTCTTTAGTCAGCTCCATAGATTTTCAATTGGGTGAAGGTCTTGGCTATTCCCAGGCCATTCCAGCTGTGGAATAGGATTATCTTGAAACTCCCCCCCCCCAAAAAAAGTGGTGTTATTATCTATCAAACCTCAAAAAATACACTTTTCTCAAAAGGTTTCCACAATTTTGGCCACTATTGAACACTTTGCAGAGAAGACAGTTTGG